TGGTATTTATTTATGTTGGAATCAACCCTCATGTCTCAGAGGCTGAGTACACGGCCCTGTTTAGGAAGAGGTTTCCATGGAGACATGACGATAACATGATGACGATGAGACAGTACTTCATTTATCTCTTTAAAAAAGGAAGGAAAATCGATAAGAAAGCGGTAGTCTCCCACTTGTACTTTACGGGCTCACAGTGAAAACCTCTCCCTCTTTATTATTCTATATCAAAAGACTACAAATGATTTTCTATTTACTTATTGTAAACTTATTGTCCACGTCTTTTACTTTTCAGGCTCTTTACGACACAATTTGCCTTGTTTAATTTCTATTCTTGACATTAAGTAAGTGAATTCACAGAGTACACAAGCAGACTATCAAGGATACAATTATTGGAGAATGTTGAATAACATACTTGCAATATGCTGCTGTTTTGACCTTCTTCAGTCTAATTAAAAGTGTTTTGATGACTGATTTCTTTTCAGAGAGTATTTGTCTGGTGTCTGGAGAAAAACAGTTTTCTTCCTCCGGCTTCAGATTGTCCTACAATTAGATTCAGATTAGATTGTGTTATGTACTCCAACAGCCTCCAATTGTGAACAAGTGTTGAGGTATTTCCTCTGTGTGTGAACTCTCATGCAATATGCGAGAAGAAAGCCTATTTCTGTGGAGATCTGGCCTCAGCTGATAATACCTCGCTCCACAAATAAATCACAACCCCACATCCTCAGCTGTCCCTTGTGCTGCATCCCTGCTGCACTGTGTTACGTCTAAGAACGTTATCAACTTTTAAAGGGCAGATGGGTGTTTTTAAACAGGACAACAACAAGTATTCCGCTCCATCACAATCCCTGAATGATGTCTAGAGCAGTCTGAGGGGGTCACAACTTCACAATAACACTGACAGTGATTTTGACTTGATTTGAGATAGAACCAAGGATAATATTTCTATACTTAATTCATTCAGCAAATATGGAGGAAGCAGCTCACCGTTGTTATTCTGCTAAAAAACAGTTACATTTACATTATTCTGTGTACCAAGAGTGGGACCTGGGACTTTTGTATATACTAGACCAGTGGTTCCCAAACCTTTTGTGCCCAAGGCACACCAAAGGACAAGTAAAAATCTCAAGGCACACCTATTGTGCAAAATAGCCCTTATAACACGTGTTATCACTCATATCATGTAAAATATCTGTAAATGTGCATAATTATTTACTAATGCCAAATAAAATGTGACAAAGACAACTATATTACTCATGAAATATTTATTAACGAAATATTTCAGAAATTAATTTGAAACTTTATCAAATTAGGCTTCATCAAAGCAGAAACACACTAATTTAAACCAGACAGGTCACAACATTAAAAATGAGGCAAAGGAAACTCAGCAGAAATTCAGCACAGAGAACTGTCAATGCAAGGAAGCTGCATTGTCCATGGTCCTGAACTACAAATTATAAATGTAACATTTCAGCTATCAGCATTGAAACATGTGCTATTGTAAATATTTTTGCCGACTTACAAATTAGTGAGATACATGTGCCTGTCGGGGCGCTGAGGAGAGGGCCACTCGCAAGTCCTGTTCAACAGAGAGCCGTGACCTCCTGTTGTTCTTCATGTAAATCAGAGTAGAGAACGCCAACTCCAGAGATGGGGTCGTTACTAAAAAAATGTAATATATTACATATTACTTTTTTTTAAAAAAGTTATATATTACACTACTACGTTACTATCTACATAAAGTAACTCGTTACTTTACTTGCCGAGCACGTACGAACTGCGCATGCGTGAGTGGCAATAACTTTCCTTACCAGCAGGCGGCGGTAGTGTGTATTTGTCATTCAAAACAGGCAACAACCGGAAGACAGAGAAGAAGAACAGACTCCATGATATAAACAAAAAAACATGTGTTCTTTGCAGGTGTGTGTTGAGGTTTGACGTGGTGTTTACAGCAGTGGATAACAGCTTCTGGCCTGGACACAGTTTGCACCTCACCGTCACATTCCTGTCTATTCTTTGGACGAACTCAAAATAATGGGCATACCACCACCCCTGGAAAGTTATCGCTGACTCAGCCATGTTTATGCAGCACTGCACGTGGAGATGTGGACGCGCAGATTACGTACATATAAACCTACAAAGTACTGATATAATAAATTAAAAAATAATTATTTTTGTGTAGTTGTATATTGCAATAATAACGTATGGTTGTCACAAAATCCCACGGCACACCCGGACTTGCCTCACGGCACACCAGTGTGCCGCGGCACACCGTTTGGGAACCACTGTACTAGACACATCTGTAGAGAATTGACAGAATACAACTTTGTTAGTGAAAGTATTCAGCTCTTTTGGAGAACCATCCAATATTCACATTCTGATGAGAGAGGGATGAACCTCAAAACAGGGGTCCTAGTTGTATGTCCTGTTTCCTAACAGCAACATGCTATTTAAACCATGAAGTCAATATTTCTTGAAATAGCACACTTGTTAGTAAACAGTTGCTTATTTGTAGATTTAGAAATTACGGAGCAACATTACTTATTTTTCATTTGGATTCGTAGTGTCTACATGATAAATGTAAGTCCAATATTCACCCTCTTTTAGCTCTGTTTTTTTATTAAAGAAACATACAAATTTGACATGATTGGACAATACTTGAAACATGTGATTTTGAAATGACTTCCCTGCATGCATCTGTACAGTCATGTCAAGATGGTAAGTCTCAATGTGTGGCATTTGTAAGAACTCTTTCAAAACCCACTTCCCAAAGACCTATCCTACTTTATCCATTTGTGGTGAATGCATGATCTGACTCCTTTAGTGAGAGTTTCAATCAAGGCTTACCTTGATCTACACATGACCCGGATGTTTTATATGGAATTGTATTGTCTTATTAAATGGAATGTAGGGCACTGACTGACGTGATTTATACTTTCACTAAGGTGTGAGGACCACAGTTGTGGAGAACATGTATTTATTTATGTCGTGTGATTGCACCCACCACTGGGGACCATAGCCGCTTTCACACCAAGTACTTTGCCGTACTTAGGGCTGGCACTAAGTTCCCCCATGGAACTAAGTACAGATCGCGTTCACACCGGAATAAGTTCGCTGAGGGAAGATTACGCAAATGAAGCCGCTGACGTCACTTCTTCTTCTGCTTTGGGTTTACTGGCAGGCCCCAAACAACTTCACGGCGTATACTGCCACCCGAAGTCCCCGGCCGGAAGTCCCCGGAGTTGGGGACTGGCTTCAGTAGAAGCTGCTGGGAGTCCCAGCAGATTCGACTGAAGCCTTCCGAGTAAAGCACCAGAACGCCGACACCTCCTCATCTCCACCGCCGTTTTTTTTTGTGTTGCCATAAGTTATTCTCTCTCCGTTGGTGCGCGGGGCTAATGCTAATAATGCTAATGCCAGCAAATACAATGGCGGCTTCACAAAACCTTTCAGAGTTTTACGGGCGTGGTTTGCAATTCACCCAGCCGATAGAAATTGGTACTTTTTTCTCCCCAGGATAGTCCCACCTCTCTAGCAGGCACTAAAAATGGGGGTAAAAGTTCTCGGAACTAAGTTCTCTTTTTGGTGTGAACGCAAAATTCCAGGCACTAACGGAACTAAATGGGAAAAGTAGGCTACAGGGAAAAGTACTCTACAGGGAAAAGTACTCCACAGGGAAAAGTACTCCGGTGTGAACGCGCCTCTTGATGTGAGAGCAGATACCGAGCAAGGCATCTTCTCAAGATTAGCTTTTTACCCAAAAATCTACTTTGCAGCCATTAAGCTTCTTTGTGTCTATGTATGAGCTTAATTCCTTTGCTCCTAACAAAAAATCATATAATGAGTGCATACAAATCTGTCATTGAAAGTAAATAAAATACATGACTGTTTTGCTGTCACTTAGCCTTTTGCACAACCCGGCTGTGAAGTTGAAAGGTGCTTTCAGACCACGTTTATCTTTTCCATGGTACCACACCACTAAGAACCGCCTGCATTATCAAATGCACTCATGAAAACTTAATCCAGCTGTTAGACAAACTGCAGAGTCTGACAGCACAAAAACAAGCTCTTCAGACTCAGACCCCATCCTGAGAGCCGGTAGGCAGCGAGAGACTCTTTGGCTGCATGGCTGCCTCTGATCCTGTTAGCAGGGAGCTCTGGATCTTCCTTATTGGTATATGTTTATGGTCTTCAAATTAAGTTATGTTTTAAAAAAATTGTTTACTCAGAAGAAAATCCAACTGCAATAAGATTAGCAAATATACAAATATAGGATTCGTTGGTGAATCAACATGTCCGAAGACATTTCATGTTTCTCACACCTCTAAAATGTGATAATAACCTGCAGGTTCATGTCCTCTGTGTCTGTCTCATTCAGTATTACATTCTGCTCACTACTAAGATGTAGTGTGATATAGAATCCCACTATTACATATTCTACTACATGCTGATTGTGGCGGGCATCAGGCGTGTGTAGACCTGCAGATGTGTGAGTCTGATCCAAAAAAAGAACTGTGAGGCATTTCAAATCTTCACCTCCTCCTCCATCCAGCCATTCCACCATTCCTCCTCTCCGTTCAGGGAGTGCCACCTCCTCCACCTGCTGCCGTCCGTCTGTCTGTCACACAGAGCTGCAGTTCAAACTGCTTTAGGTGCACAGAGCTGATAAACATTTAGAATTTTTACTGACGTTTTCAGTTTTTCTCTACAGGTCTCAGAGATCAGGAAACTATTTTTGTTATTGTAAATCACCCCGTTGAGAGGAACTAAATTGCGTTTTTAGGATACAAATGTGCAGACAAGATTGCCATCCTGCATATTACTTTCACCAACGTGGCTCCTGGAGAATCTTGAATCACTGCCATGACTATTGCTCATTTGGACTCTGCCACTTTCAGGACATCCGTCTCAGTGCAATGGTTGCACCTGCACCTGACACAATGCCGGAAACTCAGCACAAAAATAACAGATAGAAGTCCTGGTCATCAACACGGCATGCTGAACATCTTTGTTTGACAAGTATGTCACCAAAACTGAATTTGCTAGTGAAACTAAAAGAGTTGTATTTAAACTTTAAGATTTAGTGTTTAAAATCAGTTTTTCACTTTGCACTAGAATCTGATTATTTTTATTAAATTGCACACGGACCATTTATTCACAGCAGTTACATTTGTAGATGTTTGTTGACATGAAATGTAAGGGAATGTCTGGCCGTGCTCAGTGTCTAAAAGTAGATGGTTATTGTAGAGTTATCAAGATATTCACGGGTACCATTTAATTATGTATATATCATCAGAGATCTAGCTCTAGCTCAGGGAAGGTTTTGATGTCTCCGTTCTCATCACTTCAGATCAGATCGCTCCATGTGTGCAGGGTCTATCCCTTCAGAAGTTATTCTATGCCATGAATACCTGTCCCTGCTCCTCTGTGACTGATACACTGACCGCCGGCCAGCAGTGAATGTGTGCTATGTGTTCCTGTGACCTGCAGGACACCAGATACCTCCAACCCGCCCAAACAGGCATCCATGCTGACACTGTACACGTCTAAACACACACGCACAAATTCAAACACACAGATAGACTTTCTCCCTGTGCACAGACACAAATACACACACATAGCTAGGCCTGGGCAGTTAAAGAAGTGAACACATGAAGGTAGGACTGTGAGGAATGGCATTGCTGGGGGCCAGAGTGATGGAAAGCAAGGGCGCCGGAAGCAGGGGGGCCAGGGAGCCATTGCCCCCCCCCCCCACTTTTCAGCCCTGCCCCACATTTTCGCAGCAGCAGATGCCGCGGAAAACTGTACAAATCCCGTTTCAATAATTCCCCTCTACTCTAAAGTCGCATCTAAAACGCGATCTGATCTAGCTGTGTATATTTTGATATTTTTGATTGTTATATTCAATCTCACTAGCTACAGGCATGTTTGAAGCTTGTAAAGGGAAGATGACAGCTCTCACTGGCCACTCTGCTGTTCCTCAGCGCCGCTCCCCCTCCCTCCCGCTGAAATTATGAATGTAAGGTGCTAATCATAGATAACACGGCAGGGTCCATTACAGTTTGTTTTTATCTGATTTCAAATAAGCAAAGTCTTGGCTTTCAGAATATTAAACTTGTTTCGGCAAATTCAGATGATAAATAGGCCTACAACTTTGAAGCTTGTGACGGCATAATTACAAGCGGAGAACGGAGTAACTTGGGTCACAGCAGGCATAACAACAGCCGGTGTTTCCCGTGAGTGCAGTAATCCAAACAAAAATATTTCCCCTCCATAGTATTTTGATAATTTGCTCCGCTAATAATCAATCAGATCGATGGATTCCAGAGAAGAGAAAACTTTAAAGGCCTTTTTCTCAAAATGATGACTCTGTAACAGTCATTATATAATGTGACATATTTTGCTTAATATTTGGAGTAGCCTACAAAAACAATCCTGATATCATTAGAAAGCTAGGAATCAAAATGTGTCTTCGGGTCAATGCGACTGATTTCGATGGAACAGGTCACTTTGCATTAGGTAAAATAAAGCAGGCAGACATAACAGGAAGAATATGTAGGCCTACATTTTAACCCAATGAAATAGGACATTGTCACACCATTCAAATGTATCCATGTAGGCCTACCCTAAATTACAACCAATAAAAAAGCTTAGATTTGTTTATTTGTTACGTTGTTTACTTTATTTGTTACGTTGTTCTGTGTGTGTCAGCCGTTAACCTAGAGATAGAAAGAATATATACACTTGCAAACATGTCAGAAGAACCAGCGCAGAAGAAAACTAAATACAGTCAATCTAAACTTAAATTTAACAACTGGAAGGTCATATCCCTGACATCCACATCTCCGGAGCCTGGACCTTCTTCAAACAGCGAAGCCAGATGAACCCAAAAGCAGCAGCTCTGCGGCCGCAGAAACTGTCAAAACCACCACCGCCGCCGTCGTTGAACCGAAACAGGCTGGTTCCGACTGCATGGAGGATTGTTGTCGGGACATTGAGGCGGGTAAAGCTGTACAGCTAACTATCGGAAAAAAGGAGACCGCTAGTAGATTATTTGGGCAAAGAGAAGGTAGGCCTACTTCAACGCAGAATGGTACAAAAACAGAGAGTGGTTAATTATTTGCAAAACCACTAAACGATAGTGATAAACTGCGATGTTAACAACCTCATGATAACCTCATATTTTTTTAACTTAGGATCATACCTGTGTTTAGTCTAGAAAAAGGTAATTGTCAGTGGCGTTTTCTCCTGGAGGCCAAGGGTTAGGGTTAATCTGGGTTAATCTGTTTTTTCGGATTGTAGTTATAATTTTAATAAATAAATAAAAACACTTCGTTTAGTTTCGGAAATTCTTTGCTGTGTGTTGCTGCCGGCCCGTCTCTCCCCCATTCTCATTGAGTATTTTACAAAGAGTGAAACAGCGCCCCTCTATATGTTATGGTGAAACAGTAGATTGCACTCTTTGTTGCGAGAGGAGGCCAGCCGAAATTGGCTTCCCTTGGTGAAAAAAAATGGAGGGATTGACCAATCAGACAAGGCTAACGTCATGCCCCTGCCAACCTGTGATTAGTCAGGGCCATGCCAAGGGAAGCCAGAGGCGGCTGGCTTCCCTTGCCTCCAATCAAATCGCATCAATTTAGTGTGGCAGTGACGCATCCTAAAACCCGGAAGTAAGCTGCGCTCGGTTTCCCTCGACAAAAAAGCAATGGGATTTCTACATAGGATTTTGGAAAATAGCTCGAAATAAGGTCAGTGGAAAATGAACCTGTTAGATAAATGCAAGTTTTGTTCAGCCGGATAATATTCACATGTCTACCCTACTTTTATTATTTTGTAATCATAAATCTAATCGATAGAAGATAGATAGCGTCACTGCACCACTCTCACCGCCGTTAGAAAGCAAGCAAGTGCAATTATGGAGGGTGGAGATTTGGAGTATTTCATCAAAAATAATTGTACTAAACTTCCGCTACAGCAGCAACTAAAAATAAAATATGATGACAGGCCAATGCCCAAACTGGAGCTGTGTACAGCGAGGAAAAAAGGAGCGAATCGGACGTAAAACGTTAAAGGTCTCCTGATTTAGTTTGTGAATGAATGCTTATTAGAGTTTGGGCTGGAGAGTGCGTGCGGACCTGTCGGTTAGATAACAGGCGTGTGTAAGTCCTGCATCTGATACAAATGTGTGTAAAATGATACCGGGTGCTGTAATCACTCATCTGGTTACGTTATCACATTGACCACCACACCCCCGACCCAAAAGAAAGGACGTATTATTGGCTTCCTCTAATTTTCTCCCCACGCAACGCTACTGGTAATTGTGTGCATTTTATTATAAAGTTGTATATTTACAGACTGTTGCAAAAACTAAGAAGCTTATAAACATCAGGTTTAAAACTAAAAGAGCTTTACAAAAAAGTAACACAATGAAAGATGTTTGGAGTTTTATTTGAGTTATTCATTACATTTTTATAAAAGAGATGCTGATTTGAAACCGTTGTTACATTCAGTTACGGCACTTCTTGTTTCTGCCGGAGAGAGGGGAGGCTGTCCCAAAGCTTGCTGCTGTATTTACTCCCTCCATCTGACAGGAGGGAGCCTCATGTGTCCCTCCACGGAGTTCACTCCGTCACGGAGAGGGGAGTGTGTAGGGGTAGGGTGTAGGGCGTGGTTTGGGAGTGGGCCATACACACGCACTTTTTTTGCCCCCCCCACTTCTAAAATGAATCCGGCGCGCCTGATGGAAAGTCACGTGATTCTGTGTAACTATAGCACTTATGACTGGCTGATGGTAAACTGACCAGAAGACAGCTTCAGCAAAATCTTCAGATAAATCAATGAAATCTTAAATATTCTACGAAAGACTAGTATCTGCCGAGGTCCGGCTGTTTGCATAGCCGAAAAAAGGAACTGTGGATTTACTGCAGCTGTCAAAGTTGGTCGTTATTTCTCACCACATCAAGTCACCCCGAGGAGTTTGCCATCTTTAAAACACAGCAACTATCCAAGTATTAGGGTTAGGGTTAGGGTTACCAGCGTATGTTGATGACACTGGGATATTTTCTTGGGTGCTTCTAACAATCTGCTTCTGCCGGCCTCATTCCTGCTTTGGTAGCTTGCATCATGTCTCAGTGTTTGCTGGTGCATGGAATATTAAATGGTTTCGAAATGAACTGCCAGCCGTGCTACTTCAAAGGTCTGAGTGGGCATCAAAGTGGTACGAAACTAGCCATGGAATCTGCTGGGCAGTCCCACACTGATCCAATGCAATTTATTTGGTCGCAGCGAGAACCTAGCCCGAAACCAGTGTAATATTCTTGTTTTCGTAAATATGTCCTTTTGCGCTACATTTCAATGCCAGAACAAACATCTCATCATGTGATTGACCAATGTAAGACAATTTGTATTTCAGGACAGCAACACACTTGGCAGCATTTAATTTGTATCTATGTTCGGGACACGGTGCATTGGTTGGTGCACTGTTGTTGCTTTCTTCCGTTTCACTGGAATGTTCTGCCGCTTTCCGCTCTCAAGACCCAAATACATTTTCTGTTTTCTGGGAGGGACATTCGACCTGACTTTAACCCTTACAAGCATTAGTAGACATTGCAACTAATTATTGGGAAATGTTAGTTTTGCAGGTGTACTTCTAATCCTAGCATAGCCTTGGGCATTTTGGAAACATTTTGGCTTGGGTTGCCGATGTAGAGGAATGACCAGGACTATGGAAAGAATCTAAAGAACGTTGTCCCAGAAACTTCAGAGTTACGGCCATGTCACTGTTAGCAGGCTCTTAAAGTCCACATTATAACTGAGCCTGCTGTGCAGCTACACCTTCTTAAGAATGTTGCTGGAACTAATTTACTGTTATATGATACGGTCCTGTTATGATGGCATGTCAGGGGGTATGCTGCATATAGACGTATTAAAAAGGACCACATGTATTGAAATAGTTCCATGAATAATTCAACTATCACTACTGCTGAACAGTAAGTGAGACAGTGAGTGAGGAAATGATTGCTCATATCATTTTAACTTTTGAATATGGTAGGGTATTATTAATTATTATTATCATTATTATTATTATTAAGCAAGCAGTGGCGACTGGTCATTAGGGGCAGGTGGGGCACAGCCCCACCTAGTGTCAGCAGAAAGTATTAAAAATAATGATTACAAAAAAATGCAAACAAAATAAATATATATATATATACATGTTTAATCATCTGATTCGTCTGTACATTGCTTTTTTAGTCTGTGTTCTTCTAATTAGTGTCTACAGTGTGTGCCTATTGAGCTGTTTAGAGCCATGTGGGACAAAACCCGATCCTGCCCCTCCCTCTCACTGTCTAAGTCAATGGTGACTGTAAAAAGTACACTGCGCATGCTCAGAATATTTTACTATTTAATGTGTGTGGCAAAAAAATAATGACCATAGGGGCATAGAGCTGCCATCCCCACCATACGTCATCTCACATAATTCAGAGCTGATTGGCTGTAAGTACGTGTGCCGCGAAAAGTGTGGTGTGTGAAGAGGAGACGAGAGAGCTGCAGTGTCTGCGTCCTAAAACCCGGAAGTAAACTGCGCATGGCTTCCCTCGACAAAAAAGCAATGAGATTTCTCCATAGGATTTTATAAAATAGCTCCAAATAAGATCTGTGGGAAACAAACCTATTAGATAAATGCACGTTTTGTTCAGCCGGATAATATCCACATGTCTACCCTACTTTTACAATTTTCTAATCATAAATCTATCGATTAGATTTATGATAGACTTTTGAAACTACAAGAACATAAGGAGGACTTTTACAAAAAAGTAATAGTGATTTTTGTCCAGAAGGATAGGCAAATGGACTTAATCTTCATGTCAAGGTAAGACTGCAATTTTATTGAAAATGGGATCTTACTAAGAGAGAACAATTCAATATTTAAATGATAACAATTAAAAAAAATTGGGTATCCTTTTGTTGAACTGTCTGTTTAAAATTAATTGAAGCATCAGACAAAAAAAGCTTTTGAAAATAATATTATATTTTGATTTAGGTCAAAATATAATATTTGTAAACCTGAAGAGTCAGTGCCAGTGCCTCACCAGCCATGAACCTCTCTGCAGAAGCTTATAGACATCTACGTTTTTTGTGCCCCACCACTTTTGTACATATAAAAACGCCACTGTAAGCAAGGCAAGGCAAGTTTATGTATATAGCACCTTTCAACACAAGGCAATTCAAAGACATTAAGAAAATGGCATTTAAAAACAGTCATTAAAAAGCAAAGATAATAAAAGAAACATTAAAAGAAAAAATACATGAATAAAAGTTACAGTGCAGTTTAAGATATGAATAGTTCAATTAAAAGCAGCGACAAAAAGAAAAGTCTTTAGTCTGGATTTACCAGGACCTGCAGGTTTGTGGTAGTTTGTTCCAGATATTTTGAGCATGATAACTGAACTTCTCCATGTTTGGGGGGACAGAAAGCTGGATGGTTCATAATTTAGCAGGAGGTCAGAAATGTATTTTGGGCCTAAACCATTCAATGCTTTATAAACCAGCAGCAGTATTTTTGAAATAAATTATTTGATACACGGGAAGCCAGTGTATACTGTCTTCCTTTACCGTAAATCTCCCTTTAAGAAGGACCAACAAGTTATCAATAGGGTTTAGGTCAGGTGAGGAAGGGTTAAGGACAGATGAGGAAGGGTTAAGGTCAGGTGAGGAAGGGTTTAGGTCAGATGAGGAAGGGTTTAGGTCAGATGAGGAAGGGTTTAGGTCAGGTGAGGAAGGGTTAGGTCAGATGAGGAAGGGTTTAGGGTCAGATGAGGAAGGGTTAAGTTCAGGTGAGGAAGGGTTACGTTCAGGTGAGGAAGGGTTTAGGTCAGGTGAGGAAGGGTTTAGGTCAGGTGAGGAAGGGTTAAGTTCAGGTGAGGAAGGGTTAAGTTCAGGTGAGGAAGGGTTAAGTTCAGGTGAGGAAGGGTTAAGTTCAGGTGAGGAAGGGTTAAGTTCAGGTGAGGAAGGAAGGGTTAAGTTCAGGTGAGGAAGGGTTTAGGTCAGGTGAGGAAGGGTTAAGTTCAGGTGAGGAAGGGTTAAGTGCAGGTGAGGAAGGGGTACGTTCAGGTGAGGAAGGGTTAAGTTCAGGTGAGGAAGGGTTAAGTGCAGGTGAGGAAGGGGTACGTTCAGGTGAGGAAGGGTTACGTTCAGGTGAGGAAGGGTTAAGTGCAGGTGAGGAAGGGTTAAGTGCAGGTGAGGAAGGGGTACGTTCAGGTGAGGAAGGGTTACGTTCAGGTGAGGAAGGGTTAAGTTCAGGTGAGGAAGGAAGGGTTAAGTTCAGGTGAGGAAGGGTTTAGGTCAGGTGAGGAAGGGTTAAGTTCAGGTGAGGAAGGGTTAAGTGCAGGTGAGGAAGGGGTACGTTCAGGTGAGGAAGGGTTAAGTTCAGGTGAGGAAGGGTTAAGTGCAGGTGAGGAAGGGGTACGTTCAGGTGAGGAAGGGTTACGTTCAGGTGAGGAAGGGTTAAGTGCAGGTGAGGAAGGGTTAAGTGCAGGTGAGGAAGGGGTACGTTCAGGTGAGGAAGGGTTACGTTCAGGTGAGGAAGGGTTAAGTTCAGGTGAGGAAGGGTTAAGTTCAGGTGAGGAAGGGTTAAGTTCAGGTGAGGAAGGGTTAAGTTCAGGTGAGGAAGGGTTAAGGTCAGGTGAGGAAGGGTTAAGTTCAGGTGAGGAAGGAGGCCATGTCATTATTCTTTCATCTTTAATAATACCAGCCCATACCAGAACCCACCTCCACCTTGCTGTCACTGAGTGGAACTGGAGCTCTGGGCCCGGTACTGATCCAGCCATGGGCCCATCCATCTGGTCCGTCAACAGTCACCCTCATCTCATCAGTCCATAAAACCTTTGAAAAATCTGTCTTCAGATATTTATTGACCCAGTCTTGACGTTTCAACTCACGTGTCTTGTTCAGTGGTGGTTTTAGCCTTCCTCTCCTTGGCCATGTCTCTGAACACCTGGTACTTCTGGCCCTCCTGGTAGGTTGCAGTTCTTGAATATGACAGCACTGGAGGATAATGGCTTCCTGGTAGATTCACGTTTGATTATTCTCTTTGGCAACACTTTTGATGGTTCTTTGATCACGAACAAATATCTTAGCAATGTCAAGAGTGCTGCATCGCTCTGAGAGGCTTTAAACAATTTTTGACTCTTCAAAAGTCAGTTAAATCTCTTTTTTGGCCCATTTTGCCTGAGGAAAAGAAGCTGCCTAATAATTATAGACACCTGGATATAGGGTGTTGATCTCCCTAGGCCACACCCTCCCTCGTTACACAAATACACATGACACCTGATATGCTTACATCCAATACACATTCAAGTTCATACAACTTGGAGTTGGAATATATTCACAACAATTATGATATGGTCAAAATACTCACTTGCCTAATAATTGTGCACACAGTGTAATGTCTCTTTTTAATTGACCTTGATACATTGTAAGTTATTGAGTGAACCAGAATAACCTGTGGTCTTTCTCTGTTTCAGACTCTGACAGAGACCTGGAGGACAGCCATGTTTGCAGCCAATCAAGAGATCCAGCTGTGAGTAAAAACTCAGCTCCTTCCCTTTATGCAAAATTAATACACAAACATACTGTAGAATTTCTTAAGTCAGAGCTGTAATACTAAAGTGAGTTTTGAGAGATTGGAGCCCCTGATCAATTTGACAAATTTCAGTTTACATCAGTATTCACTGAGGAAGAGATGGTGCATGTTTTGTTTCTGCGTTGTCAATCCTTTTTTTAAGACACCATCTGCTGTGCACACTGTAATAACACAGTACTGCAGCTCTGATACAGTATGACACTTTAACTCAGTGGAGCGATTATTTTTGCAGTTTAATGACCAAAATGAATGGAACAGATGTTGCTGTTTGTTTTCCACACGAAAATTGACTTTCGTGTGGTCAAATCTTATATGTGTAACCCTCCATCATCACCACATTTCATTTAACACCCTTTCAAACTGTAAATATTGTATCGGACTACATGAAAAACTGCAGTAAATATACAAAGAATAGACACTGAACATGTATTGCGTGTGCCAGGTGTGATCCATGTGGGGGGATGGGCACATAAGGGGGGGGAAATACATCTAGAGTGTGTGTGTGTGTGTTTTATCTGATCCAGATGGTTACTAATTCCTTTTCTTTATGGCAGTACACCATGGGTGTTACAAAGTTGACTAAATCATCCAAAATGCAATGAAAGTGGTGATCAGCAATTTAATATGTTCAAATGTCTACTGTGAAGGATATCATAAAGCCTTAATACAATTGAATGTAAAACAAAAAAAGTTATGATTGATGAAAGTAGTAAATCGGTCAGATTTGACCCGAAGACAACAGGAGGATTAACATAACTGCATTATTAAATGGGTTATACTTTAGTAAGACAGTTCTTTTTGACTGTTTACAGGGTGCTTAGTCTGGGCTGTGTCTTCATTTATTGTTACAGTGAATGTGTTTTTTTGAGCTTCCAACAATAAATAATACGACCACTGTGTGTCATAAAGGGGTAAAATAGAAGATATTTGGTTTTGAGTAGGTTTTGAAAAAAACATAGAATAAAATAAATAATTAGTATTGTATAATTAGTTTACATTTGTTTGGAAATGTGTAGTCGGTAAGTGTCAGTGGTGAAGCCTGAGACAGGATGTTTTTACAAGATTGACCATGCAAGAGTTTATGAAACAAGTAGAGGAAGCAGATATGGAAGACTGGGACATGCCATGTTTCCCCCAGGAGGTACGAGGTTAAAAACAAACAAAAAATAGCTCAGTTTGATTCAGCCCACAATAACAAAGAAATCCAGCAGAGACAGCAGATGTAGCAATTAGGGGAATTAAAGACACACATTAAAACCACATGATAATAATACACAGTAACATATCCAGAAAATCTATATCAGTTTTGGCAGAAGAAGTACATGTTCTTCATTACCTGCCACCACTGATTTATAGTCAGAATAGATTCAGGAGAGAAATGACCAGATTTCCCTGCTTTTCCAAAAGAAACATTCAGTTATAAAATATCTGACCATCAATCATCTGCAGAGAATGATGATGAAAAATAACATATACATCTTCTCTGAGTGAAGCTTCATACATCCTCAAGTGGATTAGGAGTGAAAAGGCAATCGTCAGTTTACAGAGCAGTTCGGAGTACAACAAAGTTTGTATTACCTTTTTAAAGCTGCCACACACACACACACACACACACACACACGGCAGCCTGGAGCTTCTCAGTATAACCAGTTTTCTTTATTTGAGTCGCTTCACTGGAGCTGAGAATGTCAGTGGTTGTTGAAATAAATGAATATCTGCGGTCCCTGAGTGATTTACATGTTCCCACAGCAGTCTCCCAGAGGCTGCAGTGCCAACGCTGCTAGGAGGCACTGGAGATAATGTAGTTAGTTGAGTTAAAGGGTAAAAGCACTCTGAAAACTGCTGATGCATCAACATTTCAAACGATCTTCTTCCTGTGTGGGCAGGTAAGAGACAAGAGGCGGTCGCCCCCCTCCAACAGATCCCCCTCCTCCCAACAACGCAACCCTCACCACAGCACAGAGGAACAGGAGAGCCCAGAGAGAGTGGTGAGACACACACACACACCACTTCCATCTGCAGGAATGTTTGTGTGTCACAGGAGGCTGTGGCTCAGTGGGTTAGTGCGTTGATCTTTGGATCAGGGCATCCCCAGTGCAGTCAGCATGTAGTCGTGTCCCAGGGCAAGACCCCTCACCCAAAATTGCTCCTGTGGGGACTGCCAACACCTACCTTGAGTGTATGTAAGTTGCTTTGGATAAAAGTGTCTAACAAATGACCTGTAATGTAATGCCCCTTTAGATGTACAGAAATACGTTGGTGATGCAAACACCAAATACCATGATGCTAAAATAGGGGCCCTATTCTGCTTTTTGGGGGTTGGGGCCCTATTCCCTCTTCTGTAATGTGTTATAAAGGTTTGTGTGCATGCAAATGGTCTGCAAAGGCTAACATCCCTGTGTTCCCTCCAGAGGGAGTTTCTCTCTCTCTCCCACTCCCCCCCCTGACTGCAACACTTCCATTTGTAGTCCTTTGTTTACTTCCGCAATATTGTTACATAATTATGGAAAACTCGCACTCCTATTGGTTAGCGCTCCAACACATTGTTTGTGAAGGCTAAGGGGCGGGAGATCTCTAAGCGGTTGACCAATCACAACAGAGCCGACCAGCTAACCAATCAGAGCAGACTGGGCTCTGGTTTCAGACAGAGGGTGAAAAGAGGTGCTGCAGCACAGGCAGAGAACAATAAAGAGCTTTTTGAACATTAAAGCATGGAGACATGTCACAGTAGAGACACTAAATACTAATATGAACCTGAACATTTGAATTATGGGGCCCCTTAAACTAGAAGAATTTGTCTTACTGTTATGGCGCATTTCCACTACACGGCCTCGCTCGGTATGGCTAGGCCTCGTTAGGACTGGCTCACTTTATGGCGCATTTCAGTTTAGGAACTGGGGTAGTATCTAACGCAGTGTAAGCGGAGCCGTGACCAGTGGCGTCGCCTGGCCTGGGCATTAGCCCCGAATGTTTTTTCTGTAGCCCCGGACAATTCTTCCTCAATAATATAATACATTAACCGTGTTTTACGTGACTGTAATTTCCCGTGTTCAGTGAATGCAACAGAGGCAAGACACCAGACCAATCAGAGAGTTGCATGGAAATAAACGTGTGCTTGTGTCATTCAAGCTCGGCTCTGTGTGTGTGGCAATAGCGCATTTAGTGTGATAGAGAGAGAGGGAGAGAGGGAGAGAGTGAGAGAGGGACCGGTGCCAGCAGGGACCGTGTTGTTAGCATCTGGTTAGCTAGCTGCACTAACGGACATAAGGAGCTGTTTGTTCCACGACAAGCTGGAGGAGAGTCCTCTCCTCTCAGACTGAGAGTCCTCTCCTGTCAGACTGAGAGACTCAGGTGAGCTAAAGGACTCTGAGTGTTTAGATAGTTAACTTTAGTCTGTTATCTCAGTGGGTCTCAAACGGTTTGGTCACAAATTATTCAAAAGATTATTTCCACGGCACACCTTCATATGATCATTATAAAAAAAATAAGAGAATAAATGAAAAACATTTTTTTTTTTTTGTGGCTGACATGGCGACCCCAGCAGACACCAGGCCCATACAAACCAGATCACAATAGTCCAGGCCGATCTGCTGAGGTCACTGTCCGTCACATAAACAACCATTTCTGCCAGCTTAGCAAGCCTGTCGCATGCAGCCTTTTCATGCCATAGCAGGAGATTGCCATTTGCAAAGTCAACAACAAAAAACATGTGAATGTGACAGATCTGAAACCAGCTGCAGGTGTCAGTGTAAACACCCAGACCCACATTTACGGATGTAAAGTGGAAGATTAACGAGTTATACCGAATAAAGCTGGTTTCCAACTGAAATGTCCGTGTAGCTAACAGCCATGTTAAACAGAAGGTGAGGGTTAAAGGGAAAAGTAAAACATCTGTAACAATACATTAAACTGTACACAGTTCCTGTTTACATCACCATCTAGATTGAACAGAAGTGCACATAGTAAAGAAATGAGAGCATTATTATAGAATTAAGTAAAAGCGATATACCCTAAAATAATACTTTTAACGAAAGCGTGGTTGATTCTGTGTTGATCTTCTGGCCTCAAGACATACTCCCTCTGTACTGCAGGTGCAGAAGGAGAAGCTACATGCAGAGCTGAAGCAGGTGTTGAGTCAAAAGAGAAGTCACCTGAGAGAGTCCACCTGCCAACCGGCCCAACCAGAGATGGACTCAGAGCCCACAGACCAGCAGACAGTAAGCAACAGCTTGTTAAACTCTGAGCTAAAACATGTTGTTTGTATCAGTGAGGGAAACTGTAGATCATAGTTTTTTATCTGCCATCGCTAATGTTATTAAAGGAGAGAGAACACATGCACATAAGGTTACTCCAATGGTTAATAAAGTCCACTTTTTCCTTTGTTTCAGTTAAAGTGGACCTATCATGCTATATTTGAATAATATATTGTAGGGCCATACCTATATAAAACATGTCTGTGAAGTTCTTTTTTCAAAATACCAAACAGATCATGCATTTTAGCCATGCCTCATTTTGCTCTATTCCAGCCCTGTCTTCACAAGGGCTGATTCTGTGGCAAATGAGCTGCAGCTGACCACGCCCCCCTGCAAAGGAGGGGGGCGAGGCACGAGCGTCATGTTACCATGCTGTTACCATGCCACGCAACCTCTCATGCCCCTGATAGGTGGAGAGTTGCCCATATAGGCGGAGCTCCTTGTTTCTGACGTCAGAACAATTTCAAATCTGTATCAGTCTGTATCAGATCCGTTGCAGCCCCGTTTTTAGAGATTTGGGTATGGAGGAAAAGAGAGCGGGTTGTGTTTTCTGACACTTGGTGAGTTCCCTGACACACCGGGGACACATATTCATGTATAAAAGACGTACAAAAGTGCATTTTGCATGATAGGTCCCCTTTAACCTGTTCTACACTGCCCCCCCGATACCGGGGGGGAAAATGCGTCATCTGCAGGAAACAGAGTCTGAGGGCATCTTAATATTCAATAAACTGAATGTTTTATATCCATGCAACAGGAAGAAACTCATCTAACTGATTTTTTTATTTTTTAAAACCCACAAAACTAGCGCTGAGCCTATGAATTAGCCACGAGCGGAAAAATGCCAACGCATTACTTCACAGAAACTCACTCATAACACCCTTATTACTTATCGTAGCTGCCCATCCAACCCATCGATCTGATCGTGAGATGACACAGAATCGATCGGTTCATACATCATCACTCCATGATAAGTACTCGCGAAGATATTAACAAGAACAGACATCAAAACATGTGGCGCTAGGTAGCTAGAAACGGCTCATCTTTGTCTGGTCAAAAGTGGTCTTCAATGGCATTAAAACAATAAAAACGCTGCTGAAGTTAATCCATAGGTTAATCCAATGTGTCTGTGTCCCTTTGAAATGATTTCTGATAATCCATAAGCAATAAACCTGCTTTTCCGTTTCCAGATGTCAGAGCGAGAGATGTTCGCTCTCATGCAAACCTGCATGCACAAAGCTCCCACCTTTTTTTGTTAATGTTGGTGTGTATGTGGAAATTCCCCTTCGATTCTATTGGCTCTAACGGTCAAAAAGAGATGTCATCACCAAAATCGACCAATGAGTTCCAGAGAAATGGTAAAAACGGCCATTTCCACCCAAATCACCTCAGAGGTGGTGTTGTTTTGCTAAACCTCTCTAAAAAGGTCAAATGTCACTTGTTTTGCATCAACCTTGATACAGGGTACTTATATGTTGTACTTTGGATTCCTAAAGCATTTAGTCTACCTTACCATCATCCAAGGGTAGTTTTCACTCTAAGTAAAAAATATTTTTTGGACGGACACTATAATTTACAGTTTTTTTACTATGTTCAATCCGAATTTTCTTTAAAATAAAAAAACATCTATATTGATTCTGACTTTTCTACATCCAACTCACAGGTTTATCATTACTTTGAGAAAAAAGATTATAATTTTCCCCTTTTAGAAGTGTAGTTATGGTCATTTGTTCTGGAAATGTCATTTTCGAGCCTGAGACCTGAAAAACAGGCTCAGTGCTTAACAGGTTAAGTTATTTCCTTGGGTCACTCACTGGAAAAGAGAATGGGATCCAAGAATAGTGTGAGCTTTTCTCCGTGGTAGTTTAATGCATTAAATGGATTCAGGAGCAAAGTGTCAAGTGACATGTAACTGTACAACAAATTCTGCACCCACTCAAGCAAGTGGGGCAGCAGTGGCTCAGGGGATAAGGCCTCTACGAATCGCAGAGTCATTTGTTCGATCCCCACCCCCTGCAGTCAACATGTCAAAAGGCGCATTCACACTGCGGTACTTTTCCCACAAAGGTTCATGTGAACTTAGTTCATGTGAACTCTTTTATCGCGTTCACACCAAAAAGAGCCGGTACTAAAATTAGTTCATGTGAACCTTTTTACCCCCTCGAAAGTCACTGCTAGAGAGCAGGGACTTTCGAGCGGCTCTTTTGTGAGAAAAGAGCTACATTTCTGATTGGCTGGAAGGATTGCAAACCACGCCCCGCAAAACTCCCAAAAAGTTTTGTGAAGCCGCCATTTTATTATCCTCGCATTAGCATTATTAACATTAGCATTAGCCCAGCGCAGAAACGCAGAGAGACTAACTTATAGCAACACAAAATAAAACATGGGAGTGGTGGAGATGAGGAGGTGTCGGCGTTCTGGCGATTTACTCGGAAGGCTTCAGTAGAAGCTGCTGGGAGTCCCAGCAGCTTCTACTGAAGCCAGTCCCTAACTCCGGGGACTTCCGGCCGGGGACTTTGGGCGGCAGTATACGCCGTGAAGTGGTTTGCGGCCTGCCAGTAAACCCAAAGCAGAAGAAGAACAAGTGACGTCAGCGGCTTCATTTGCCTAATCCACCCCCAGGGACTTTTTCCAGTGTGAACGCGATCTGTACTTAGTTCATGCGAACTAAAGAGTTCACATGAACTAAGTTCACATGAACCTTTGTTGGAAAAGTACCGCAGTGTGAATGCGCCTAAAGTATCTTTAGGCAAGGTATATCAAATCCCGTAGCTGTAGGGTGTTGAAGTGTATGCTTTGGATAAGAGCATCTCACACTTAGTGTAATGTAATGTTAAAGTGAAATAAGATCACAGAGTTCAAGCCCTTGTGCTTTTAAAACATTGCTACTCGGCAAATAATTAAGAAAAATACTGATAGATGTACATTCGGTGTCTGATGATATATTGATAACATTATGGAGTCCAGCATCCACAGAGTAATATCTTTAGTTCATAATTTCTCGTTTAGATACTATTAAATATAGTAATGTATTACTGTCTAAGCCACTCCCACTTTATGATCCAAGTATCATATCTATTTATTCCTTGGTTAATAAATCCAAAATATTAAATAAAAACATTTATTCAACAACTGTCAAACAACTGACCAGTTCTCCTGGTCAATGCCACTTTGATGTCAAATAAAGTATGAATATGCAGTTTTACTGCAGCCTAAGGTAGGTGTGTGTGTGTGTGTGTGTGTGTGTGTGTGTGTGTGTCAAGTTGTGATTTGGTTGAGTGATTGCAGATTCCTTATTGCTTCATTCAGCCTCTTGTTGGCCTCTTGATGCTCATTCAGGTTGAAAACCTTTTAACACAAAACATTACTTTCATTCATTTTAGGTAAATAAACATTTTCAACAAAAAACATGCCATCTTTTAACAAGCACGTTCTTTCTTAATTTACAATGACATTTAACCAAAAATAAATGCATTTCAACAAAGTAAATTATATATTTCAGCATCTTATATTTTAGCTTCTTTCCTCAGGACTAGAAATAATAATACATCTAATCAAACATGGTTCAAACAGATTAATACATTTACAAATATTCACCAGCAGCGTCTTGGTCGAATCTTTGAGTCTCTTCTCCTTTCTCACAGCGAACTGTTTGTCCTCTGCTGAGAGTGTGTTCCCAGGTGTGTTGCATTTAGCTCATTAAGTAGGAAGCTCACACTCTTCCTTTGAGCCACATTCTCAGTGGAATCACAGACCCTAGGCTCCCTGTCTCCACCTGCTGGACTGGAGCCAGATGTGAATTGCACTTCTCAAGCTCTGACAAAACAGTGTGTGTGTGTGTGTGTGTGTGTGTGTGTGTGTGTGTGTGTGTGTGTGTGTGTGTGTGTGTGTGTGTGTGTGTGTGTGTGTGTGTGTGTGTGTGTGTGTGTGTGTGTGTCATAAAAGCAAGACTGCAGGTATTACCCACTAAGTACAATCTGTCCACCTGGTACCCTCACATTCACACATAACAAATGGATGTAATGCATTCAAGCGCCTGTACATAGCCCGTCATGACCGTATTGTGGACATTGTGTCTGATGCGGTACGAAACATCTTACCATGTAGCGCAGAAATGTACAAGCATGCTAGAGTGCTACCAGAATGGTTTGGTTTTGTTGACACCAACCACAGGGAGGTGCTAATATTAGAAGTAGGCTGTGCCTTTGACCTGTACATGGACCAGGCTTTCCAGGACAAATATATCAAATACCAACCACTGCTCGATGTGATAACCAGCTTTGGGTACAAGTGTAGATATAGCATACTCATATTCGGAAGTCTTGGCCATGTATATAAATGCACCATGATTGGTCTGAGAATTGCTGGAATGTCAAAGAGAAAAGCCAAACAAGTTCCAGCTATTATTGGCAGCTTAGCCGTGTGGAGAGGGAGATGCTATGTGTTCCCCTAAGTGTTCTGTGCTGCTTAGCCCTGATATATTTGATTCCCTGTCTTATGTAATATAATTTGTGGAACCAAATATAGTATTCAAATGTGTGTGTGTGTGTGTGTGTGTGTGTGCGCGCGCGCGCGCGTGTGTGTGTGTGTGTGTGTGTGTGTGTGTGTGTGTGTGTGTGTGTGTGTGTGTGTGTGTGTGTGTGTGTTAGTGTGTGGAAGAAGCCTCTCCATCCATGGAGATCGTGGTGGAGACGGAGGCGGAGGCTGGAGCCAGCGGCTACAGTGTGACTGGTGGAGGACAGCGAGGGATCTTTGTGAAAGATGTCCTCAGAGACTCACCAGCTGCTAAACATCTCAGTCTCCAGGAAGGTACCTGTCATCTTTATGAGCACCTACAGTGAACATTCTGTAGTTAAAATGAAACGGTATAATGGTTAGCTACTACCATTGCCACTCCCCTACGGACATTTTGAACACTGGACATAATAATTCAAATGTTCTCTGTGTTAAGGGGACCAGCTGCTGAGTGCCAAGGTCTACTTTGACAACGTGAAGTATGAAGACGCTCTGAAGATCCTTCAGTGCGCCGAGCCATATAAGGTCAGCTTCCAGCTGAAGAGGATCATCCCTGGATTAGAGATCTGCGTACGGCCTCGTGTTCCCAGTGTGGAGGTCAAAGGTCCCAAAGCCAAGGTGGCCAAAATGGTATTTAATTATATTATGATATATACATACATATCTCTGCGAAGTAATCCATGGTAAACATCCGTGCGGGAGGAAGTTTGGGGGTTAATTTGGTAATATGATTAATTTGCACAAAAAGAATGAACACATCAAGGTTTCCAGATGTAATACGAGAGTTAATGTTGACAGCCCTAATTATTAGTCTGTATGTGTGATTTATAATTCGAAACTCAATTGAGTCATTTTAGATAGAGTATCATTTTTATATAGTATAAACATTTCGTCCAATCTTCTAGTCCCAAATTAGATTAAAAAAACATATTTTCCAAACAATTTCAGTTTTCAATTGATCAACCTAAAGCTAGTGCCTTAACAGTTAGTACCATACTCAATTTGAAAGCCTTAGGCTGAAACCTCTTGCCTTTTATGATTTATCAGAGTATGAAGGGCAGCAAGCAGTGCAAGGCCAAGAAGATGAGGGGTGGGCGTTTTGGTCTGAAGAGGCTGAAGGAGAAGCGCAGAGAGGAGCTGGTGATTGAGGGACAGCCTACCACGCTGGAGATGAGTGACGTAGACGTGGAGTTTTCTCTCCCAAAGTTCAAACCGAGGAAGAGCACTAAGGCTGAAGCAGAAGGAGCCGAGGGAGCAGCAGCTGTGGGGAAGGCCAAGAGGAGGATCAGGTTGGCCTTGTTTGTGTCCTTTTCATATTGAAATTGTCAAAATGACCCTCTGATCCAACTTGTGTAGGTGTTTAGAAACATTATGAGGCTAAAGAATAGTTACAAAAGTACCACAATTCTATACATGTTGTTTTTTCAAAAACATCATCAAATTAATATCGGAAAACTATTCTTATTTTATACAGTACAGTATTCTTTACAAAAGATTTTGGAATGTTTGCTAAAAAAAATTGCTATGTCACAGTGTTTTTTCTTCTTCTCTCCTTCCTTTCTCCTAGGTTTCCCCACATGAAAACAAAGGTTCTCACTGGGGACATCACAGGAGGTAAAGTGGAAACAGAACATCTCGAGGGAGAGGTGAACATCTCTCCACCTGAGATACCTGGAGCTAAAGTGAAAACCAAAGTAAAAGGACACAAGTTTGGAATCAACTTCCCTAAGAGCAAACACACAAAGTCAAGCTCAGCATTGGAGACTGGATCTGTGGAGCTGAAGCCCCCTGGGGTGAACATCCAGCCACCGTCAGTGGAGTTTAGTTTGTCTGGAGATAAAAACATAGACATAGAGATGGGAGGAGTTAAGCTTAATGCGCCTGATGTGGAGTTTGCACTACCTTCCGGAAAAGCTGAGGCGTCTTTGCCCGCTGTGAAGGGAGAGGCTAAAATCAAAGCTCCTAAGATCAACATCAAAGGAGGCTCTGATGCAGAGGCTACAAGTGGTAAAATGAATGTAGACTCAGGCAAAGGAGATGCAAAGCTAAGAATGCCAAAGTTGAAACTGCCAAAAGTTAGACTCTCACGCCATTCGGATGAGATAGATGGTGAGATTAAGGTGAAAGCCAAAGGTATGAATGTGCCTCAAACTGACATTACACCTCCAAAAGTAGAACTCAAAGGAGGTGGTAAGATCAATCTCCCTGAGGCAAACATTTCAAAATCAAAGATGGAAGTTGATCTCTCGGGAAACGCTGCATCTGTTGAAATGCCTTCTCTTGATATTTCTTTACCACACGTGAAGGGAAAGTCTGACATGGAGATTTCGCTCCCAAAGTACGAAGGAGCTGGGAAGACAGCAATCAAAATGCCTGCCATGGACATCTCTGTGCCTGAAGTAGATTTGGAATTTGACACTGGATGCAGAATTCCTGATGAGGTAGAGGGCACTTTCACAGGGCCCAAAATCTCCAGGCCAAAGGTTGACATCTCATTACCAAAGATGGGTCCATCAAATGTGAACATTGAAAGTCCAGAAGGTGGAGGAAAATTTGGTCTACCTTCTGTTGACATAGCTCTCCCAAAGGTGGAAGCAGAGGGGGACGATGTAGATATGCACTACTTTGTTGGTGGAGATGGGAAGTTCAAAATGCCTGAGTTTGACATATCGCTTCCAAAGATGAAGTCACCAGAAGGAGAAGTACATTTTAAAGGAGAAGGCTTTAAATTACCCATGGTAGACCTGATACTTCCTGAAGGCAAAACTGGAACAACTGATGTTGGAGGAGGAGGAGCATTTCAGTTACCAACGTTTGACATCTCCATCCCTAAAATGAAGACAGGTGAGGTGGACATCGAAGGCCCTGAAATAAAAGGTGGGAAGATCAAAGTGCCCACTGTTGATATCTCTGTTCCCAAGGGAACCGTAGAGGAGCATTTGAACATTGGGATCAGTGAATTCAAAGGTGGTAAATGCAATATGCCCTCTGTAGACATTTCTCTCCCAAAAGTGGAGGTACCTGAAGGAGACTTGAGCCTAGAATGCCCCAAACTTCCAAATGTTGACTATTCCCTCCCCACGGCAAACTTGGGGGGCAACATGGAGTTAGAGAGCAGTGTTGGTAGTGGAGCCAAGTTCAAGCTGCCAACTTTTGACAAAACACTCCCAAAGATGAAAAACAAGGAAGGAGAGGTTAATATTCAAGGACCTAATATTAAAGGAGGAGCAAAGTTCAACACGCCTTCTTTAGATGTGTCACTACCAAAGATTAAGATGCCTGAGGGAAATATTGGACTTGAGGGACACTCCGTTGATATCTCTCTTCCAAAGGGGAAAGTTGAGGTTTCTCTCCCTACAATTAAATCAAAGAAAGGTGACATCAAAATCAAGGGATCAGACATCAAGGCTGGGGAAATGAAGATGCCAACTATTGAGATTTCAACCCCACCAGGAACATCACAAGGCAAATTCACTGCTGAGGGTGAAGGAAGAGGTGCTGAATTCAGCTTGCCATCTGCAAACATCGCTCTTCCTGCAATAAAAATCCCTGAAAGAGATGTGAATTTACAAGGCCCAAAAGTCAAGGGTAGGACATTTCAAATGCCAAAAATCAACTTCTTGTTTCCCAAAGGAAAAGCAAAGGGAGATATTGACATTGATGTTCACTCTGGAAAAGATGGGAATTTTGAAATACCATCCTATGATATTGGACTACCTAAAGGAAAAGTCAAAGGCCCTAAGCTTAAGGGAGGAAAAATCAACATGCCAGACATTGACTTGTCTCTCCCCAAAGGCAAGGCTGACCTCAGTATTGAGGGTCCTGAGGTAAAAGGAGGAAAACTCAAAACACCTACATTTGATGTTTCACTTCCGAAAATGAAGCTGCCAGAGGGCAATGTGGAAATTCCCACGGTTGATATTTCACTCCCAAAAGTAAAAATAGCAGGAGATATCGATATGCAAGGACCTGAAATCAAAGGTGACATGTCCCTACCTAAAATGAAGTCTCCAGAGGTAGATATCAGCCTTGAAGGTCCTGATGTTAGAGGAGGAAAGTTTAACTTGCCAACTGTTGACATTTCACTCCCTAAAGGAAACCTTGAGGGTGACCTTAAAGTTGAAGGTCCTGAGGTAAAAGGGGGTACATTTAAAATGCCAACATTTGATATGTCTTTCCCAAAAATGAATTTCCCAGACGGTGATGTCAAACTTAAAGGCCCAGATATCAAAGGAGAGAAGATTGCAATGCCAGACATTGATATTTCACTTCCCAAAGTAAAAGCAGGAGGAGAAATGTCAGGACATGCTGGGAAAGGAGGCAAGTTCCATATGCCTTCTTTTGATATCTCTCTTCCCAAAATGAAAGCTAAGGGGCCAGAGGTCAACATAGAAGGTCCTGAACAGAAGGGAGGAAAAATCGACATGCCAGACATTGACCTTTCACTCCCAAAAGGAAAGGCTGATGTTGATCTCAATATTGAGGGTCATGAGGGAAAAGGAGGAACATTCAAAATGCCCAAATGTGACATTTCACTTCCAAAGATGAACCTGCCAGAGGGCAATCTGGAAATGCCAAAGGTTGATATCTCACTCCCAAAAGGAAAGGTAAAGGGAGATGTTGACATAGAGGGACCTGACTTTAAAGGTGACGTTTCATTCCCCAAGGGAAGAGTTGAGGGAGACATCGATGTGGAGGGTCCTGAGGCGAAGGGTGGCACATTTAAAATGCCAACATTTGATGTCTCAATGCCAACAGTTAGTCTCCCAAAGGGTGATGTCAAGCTTAAAGGCCCAGACATGAAGGGAGGGAAGATCGAGATGCCAGACATTGATATTTCACTGCCTAAAGGAAAGGCAGGAGGACACATTGAAATCGAAGGACATGGTGCAAAAGGAGGCAAGTTCCATATGCCCTCTGTTGATATCTCTCTTCCCAAAATGAAAGCTAGGGGGGCAGAGATAAACATTGAAGGTCCTGAAGTTAAAGGTGGAAAGCTAAACATGCCTTCACTTGATGTTTCTCTGCCCAAATAAAATCTCCCAATGTAGATATCAGCCTTGAGGGTCCTGATGTTAAAGGAGGAAAGGTCAACATCCCAACTGTTGACATTTCACCTCCCAGAGGAAGGGTTGAGGGGGAGATAAATGTTGAAGGCCCTCAGTTGAAAGGAGGGAAATTCAAAATGCCAAAATGTGATGTTTCTCTACCAAAAGCGAGTCTACCAAATGTTGATGCCAATGTAGAAGGAACCGATTTGAAAGGAAAAATGTATATGCCAACTGTTGACCTTTCACTTCCAAAAGGAAAAGCAGATGTGGATATAGACATTGATGGGCATGGTGGTAAAGGAGGCAAGTTTCACATGCCCTCACTCGATATCTCTCTTCCTAAAATCAAAGCAAAGGGACCTGATCTTAATATCAAAGGACCTGAAATCAAAGGTGACATGTCCCTACCTAAAATGAAGTCTCCAGAGGTAGATATCAGCCTTGAAGGTCCTGATGTTAGAGGAGGAAAGTTTAACTTGCCAATTGTTGACATTTCACTCCCTAAAGGAAACCTTGAGGGTGACCTTAAAGTTGAAGGTCCTGAGGTAAAAGGGGGTACATTTAAAATGCCAACATTTGATATGTCTTTCCCAAAAATGAATTTCCCAGACGGTGATGTCAAACTTAAAGGCCCAGATATCAAAGGAGAGAAGATTGCGATGCCAGACATTGATATTTCACTTCCCAAAGTAAAAGCAGGAGGAGAAATGTCAGGACATGCTGGGAAAGGAGGCAAGTTCCATATGCCCTCTTTTGATATCTCTCTTCCCAAAATGAAAGCTAAGGGGCCAGAGGTCAACATAGAAGGTCCTGAACAGAAGGGAGGAAAAATCGACATGCCAGACATTGACCTTTCACTCCCAAAAGGAAAGGCTGATGTTGATCTCAATATTGAGGGTCCTGAGGGAAAAGGAGGAACATTCAAAATGCCCAAATGTGACGTTTCACTTCCAAAGATGAACCTGCCAGAGGGCAATCTGGAAATGCCAAAGGTTGATATCTCACTCCCAAAAGGAAAGGTAAAGGGAGATGTTGACATAGAGGGACCTGACTTTAAAGGTGACGTTTCACTCCCCAAGGGAAGAGTTGAGGGAGACATCGATGTGGAGGGTCCTGAGGCGAAGGGTGGCACATTTAAAATGCCAACATTTGATGTCTCAATGCCAACAGTTAGTCTCCCAAAGGGTGATGTCAAGCTTAAAGGCCCAGACATGAAGGGAGGGAAGATCGAGATGCCAGACATTGATATTTCACTGCCTAAAGGAAAGGCAGGAGGACACATTGAAATCGAAGGACATGGTGCAAAAGGAGGCAAGTTCCATATGCCCTCTGTTGATATCTCTCTTCCCAAAATGAAAGCTAGGGGGGCAGAGATAAACATTGAAGGTCCTGAAGTTAAAGGTGGAAAGCTAAACATGCCTTCACTTGATGTTTCTCTGCCCAAAATAAAATCTCCCAATGTAGATATCAGCCTTGAGGGTCCTGATGTTAAAGGAGGAAAGGTCAACATCCCAACTGTTGACATTTCACCTCCCAGAGGAAGGGTTGAGGGGGAGATAAATGTTGAAGGCCCTCAGTTGAAAGGAGGGAAATTCAAAATGCCAAAATGTGATGTTTCTCTACCAAAAGCGAGTCTACCAAATGTTGATGCCAATGTAGAAGGAACCGATTTGAAAGGAAAAATGTATATGCCAACTGTTGACCTTTCACTTCCAAAAGGAAAAGCAGATGTGGATATAGACATTGATGGGCATGGTGGTAAAGGAGGCAAGTTTCACATGCCCTCACTCGATATCTCTCTTCCTAAAATCAAAGCAAAGGGACCTGATCTTAATATCAAAGGACCTGAAATCAAAGGTGACATGTCCCTCCCTAAACTGAAGTCTCCAGAGGTAGATATCAGCCTTGAAGGTCCTGATGTTAAAGGATCAACGTTTAACTTGCCAACTGTTGACATTTCACAACCTAAAGGAAACCTTGAGGGTGACCCTAAAGTTGAAGGTCCTGAGGTAAAAGGGGGTACATTTAAAATGCCAACATTTGATATGTCTTTCCCAAAAATGAATTTCCCAGACGGTGATGTCAAACTTAAAGGCCCAGATATCAAAGGAGAGAAGATTGCGATGCCAGACATTGATATTTCACTTCCCAAAGTAAAAGCAGGAGGAGAAATGTCAGGACATGCTGGGAAAGGAGGCAAGTTCCATATGCCCTCTTTTGATATCTCTCTTCCCAAAATGAAAGCTAAGGGGCCAGAAGTCAACATAGAAGGTCCTGAACAGAAGGGAGGAAAAATCGACATGCCAGACATTGACCTTTCACTCCCAAAAGGAAAGGCTGATGTTGATCTCAATATTGAGGGTCCTGAGGGAAAAGGAGGAACATTCAAAATGCCCAAATGTGACGTTTCACAATTGAAAACACCAACTGTTGACATTTCAATACCCAAAGCAAACCTTAATGTCGAGGGATCTAAGGTTTTGGGAGGTACATTTAAAATGCCCAAATTTGATATGTCTTTACCAAAAGCAAATCTGCCAGAGGGTGATGTCAAACTCAAAGGCCCGGAAATCAAGGGGGGGAGGATTGAGATGCCCAACATTGATATGTCACTTCCCAAAGGAAAAGCAAGAGGTGAAATGGAAATTGAAGGACATGCTGGAAAAGGAGTCAAGTTCCATATGCCCTCTGTTGATTTCTCTCTTCCGAAAATGAAAGCTAAGGGACCAGAGATTCATATTAAAGGCCCTGAATTTAAGGAAGGAAATATCAACATGTCAGACATTGACCTGTCAGTTCCCAAAGGAAAGGCTGGCATCAGTATTGAGGGTCCTGAGGTAAAAGGAAGAATATTCAAAACGCCTACATTTGACGTGTCACTTCCAAAGATGAACCTGCCAGAGGGCAATGTCAAAGTTGAAGGACCAAAGATTAAGGGAGGAGAGATCTCAACACCAGATGTTGATATTTCAGTTCCTGTTGGAAAATTAGAGGGAGATATCAGCTTTGAAGGACCGTCTGGAAGGGGAAAGTATGAATTGCCAAAGGTGGACTTATCTGGTGTTGGGCTCCATATGCCAACTCTTGACATAAATCTCCCCAAATTTGATCTTGACCTTAGCATTCCCTCTGGTCATAAAGACAAAAGCCTCAAAGTGGACACCTCTTGGCCCGAAGCATCAGGAGATTTAAAGATGTCTGGTCGCATAGGAGAAATCAATCCAGCCAAGGTGAAAGTAAAGTGTACAGACATTGCGACAGGTGGTGTAGAAGCTCCAGGTGCATCCCTCAAACCTCCTACTATCAGCGGTGTTCTTAAAGCCGAGGGAGGCAGGCCTTCTTCAGGGGGCAGCTTTGATCTGCCTGATGTTTCCCTCAAATTCCCAAGTTTCTCTCTACCAAGGTTTGGTGGAAAGTCTAAGAGTGGTGATTTTGCAATGTCTGTCCCCAAAGGAGACATTTCCCTCAGCTCACCGCATGTGGAAGGAGAGATAAGGGCACCATCAGTAGAGTTTGATGGGGACGGAAAAGTCAAGGTGAAAAAACCTAAAATTAAAATGCCTTCATTTGGTGTATCCAAAAAGCATGCAGATGTATCCGTGTCTTGTCCTGATGTGGATGTTAAAGTTAAAAAGGGAAAATTCCCCAAGTTTAAAATATCACCAAAAAGTCAGCTCCCAGAGGGAGGGGTTGATGCTGAGCTGGGGGCAGATGTTGAAGGGAAAGGTGGCTTCCATGCCCCTGACGTCACTCTCAAACTACCAAAGTTCTCAATGCCAGGATTTGGCTCTAAAGAGAAAGATTTAGGTAAGCAAAGTGTTAACTTTGAGTCTAAAGCCAAGGTTAAGATGCCCTCTGTTGAGTTCTCACTACCAGCAGCTAAGACACCAGAGACTGAGGTTTTGTTACCTAAAGCAGAGGTGGATGTCTCAGAGGCTGATATCAGAGGTTATGAGGTAAGCCTCAACATTCCAAAAATGCCAACAATTGACATTTCCATCCCCAAAGTAGACCTGGATGTGTCCCTGCCTAGAGTAGAGCATGATGCAAAGACTGATGGAAAAGGGGGCAAATTCAAGTTGCCTGGAATCAAGATGCCTGACATTGATCTGTCCCTTAGAGGGAAAACTGGGGACCTAAAAATGCCAGATGTTGACATCTCTCTGCCTAAAGGAAAGATTGAAGGTCCAGATTTTGGAATGGAAGGGGGAACCGGAGGAAAATTCAGAATGCCGCACATGAGAATGCCCAACATCGACATCTCCCTGCCCAAAGGAAGGATTGAGGGTTCAGAGATGGAAATCGAAGGCGAGGGTGGAAAGTTTAAAATGCCTCATCTCAACATGCCTTCAGTTGACATTTCACTTCCCAAAGGAAAGATAGAAGGTCCCGATTTTAAAATGGGGGGAGGTACAGGAGGAAAGTTCAAAATGCCTCACATAAAAATGCCAGATGTTGCCATCTCTTTGCCCAAGGGAAGGATTGAAGGTCCAGACGTTGAAATGGAAGGAAGTCAAGGAGGAAAGTTCAAAATGCCTGATGTGAAAATGCCAGATGTTGACATCTCTCTGCCTAAAGGAAAGATTGAAGGTCCAGATGTTGGAATGGAAGGAGGTACAGGTGGAAGATTCAAAATGCCTCACATGAAAATGCCCAACATCGACCTTTCTCTGCCTAAAGGAAAGATTCAGGGTCCAGATGTTGAAATGGAAGGAGGTACAGGAGGAAAGTTCAAAATGCCTCAGATGAAAATGCCAGATGTTGACATCTCTCTGCCCAAGGGAAGGATTGAGGGTCCAGAGATGGCTATCAAGGGAGATGGTGCTAAATTCAAGATGCCACATCTCAGTCTGCCCTCTGTTGATGTTTCACTTCCTAAAGGAAAGATCGGTGATCCGGATATTGAAATAGAAGGAGGCACCGGAGGCAAATTTAAAATGCCGCACTTGAAAATGCCCAACATTGACATCTCTCTGCCCAAAGAGGATATCGAAGGTCCAGGCGTTGAAATGGAGGGAAGTAAAGGTGGAAGATTCAAAATGCCTCACATAAAAATGCCAGATGTTGACATCTCTCTGCCCAAAGGAAGGATTGAAGGTCCAGATGTTGAAATGGAAGGAGGTACAGGTGGAAGATTCAAAATGCCTCACATGAAAATGCCAGATGTTGGCATCTCTCTGCCCAAAGGAAGGATTGAAGGTCTAGATGTTGAAATGGAAGGAAGTCAAGGAGGAAAGTTCAAAATGCCTGATGTGAAAATGCCAGATGTCGACATCTCTCTGGCCAAAGGAAAGATTGAAGGCCCAGATTTTGGAATAGAAGGAGGAACCGGAGGAACATTCAAAATGCCTCACATGAGAATGCCCAACATCGACATCTCTCTGCCCAAAGGAAAGATTGAGGGTTCAGAGATGGAAATCGAAGGCGAAGATGGAAAGTTTAAAATGCCTCATCTCAACATGCCTTCAGTTGATATTTCACTTCCCAAAGGAAAGATGGAAGGTCCCGATTTTAAAATGGGGGGAGGTACAGGAGGAAAGTTCAAAATGCCTCACATGAAAATGCCAGATGTTGACATCTCTCTGCCCAAGGGAAAGATTGAAGCTCCAGACGTTGAAATGGAGGGAGGTAAAGGTGGAAGATTCAAAATGCCTCACATGAAAATGCCCAACATTGGCATCTCTCTGCCTAAAGGAAAGATCGAGGGTCCAGATGTTGAAATGGAAGGAAGTCAAGGAGAAAAGTTAAAAATGCCTCACACGAAAATGCCAGATGTTGACATCTCTCTGCCTAAAGGAAAGATTGAAGGTCCAGATGTTGGAATGGAAGGAGGTACAGGTCGAAAATTCAAAATGCCTCACATGAAAATACCCAACATCGACCTCTCTCTGTCCAAAGGAAGGATTGAGGGTTCAGATGTTGAAATCAAAATGCCAGATGTTGACATATCTCTGCCCAAGGGAAGGATTGAGGGTCCAGAGATGGCTATCAAGGGAGATGGTGCTAAATTCAAGATGCCACATCTCAGTATGCCCTCTGTTGATGTTTCACTTCCTAAAGGAAAGATCGGTGATCCGGATATTGAAATAGAAGGAGGCACCGGAGGCAAATTTAAAATGCCGCACTTGAAAATGCCCAACATTGACTTCTCTCTGCCCAAAGGAAAGATTGAAGGTCCAGATGTTGAAATGGATGGAGGTACAGGAGGAAAGTTCAAAATGCCTCAGATCAAAATGCCAGATGTTGACATCTCTCTGCCCAAGGGAAGGATTGAGGGTCCAGAGATGGCTATCAAGGGAGATGGTGCTACATTCAAGATGCCACATCTCAGTATGCCCTCTGTTGATGTTTCACTTCCTAAAGGAAAGATCGGTGATCCGGATATTGAAATAGAAGGAGGCACCGGAGGCAAATTTAAAATGCCGCACTTGAAAATGCCCAACATTGACATCTCTCTGCCCAAAGAGGATATCGAAGGTCCAGGCGTTGAAATGGAGGGAAGTAAAGGAGGAAGATTCAAAATGCCTCACATGAAAATGCCTAACATTGGCATCTCTCTGCCCAAAGGAAGGATTGAAGGTCCAGATGTTGAAATGGAAGGAAGTCAAGGAGGAAAGTTCAAAATGCCTGATGTGAAAATGCCAGATGTCGACATCTCTCTGGCCAAAGGAAAGATTGAAGGCCCAGATTTTGGAATAGAAGGAGGAACTGGAGGAAAATTCAAAATGCCTCACATCAGAATGCCCAACATCGACATCTCTCTGCCCAAAGGAAAGATTGAGGGTTCAGACATTGAAATGGAGGGAGGTTATGGAGGAGCATTCAAAATGCCTCACATGCAAATTCCCAACATCGACATCTCCCTGCCCAAAGGAAGGATTGAGGGTTCAGAGATGGAAATCGAAGGCGAAGATGGAAAGTTTAAAATGCCTCATCTCAACATGCCTTCAGTTGATATTTCACTTCCCAAAGGAAAGATGGAAGGTCCCGATTTTAAAATGGGGGGAGGTACAGGAGGAAGATTCAAAATGCCTCACATGAAAATGCCAAACATTGGCATCTCTCTGCCCAAAGGAAGGATTGAAGGTCCAGATGTTGAAATGGAAGGAAGTCAAGGAGGAAAGTTCAAAATCCCTGATGTGAAAATGCCAGATGTCGACATCTCTCTGCCCAAAGGAAAGATTGAAGGCCCAGATTTTGGAATAGAAGGAGGAACCGGAGGAAAATTCAAAATGCCTCACATGAGAATGCCCAACATCGACATCTCCCTGCCCAAAGGAAAGATTGAGGGTTCAGACATTGAAATGGAGGGAGGTTATGGAGGAGCATTCAAAATGCCTCACATGCAAATTCCCAACATCGACATCTCCCTGCCCAAAGGAAGGATTGAGGGTTCAGAGATGGAAATCGAAGGCGAAGATGGAAAGTTTAAAATGCCTCATCTCAACATGCCTTCAGTTGATATTTCACTTCCCAAAGGAAAGATGGAAGGTCCCGATTTTAAAATGGGGGGAGGTACAGGAGGAAAGTTCAAAATGCCTCACATGAAAATGCCAGATGTTGACATCTCTCTGCCCAAGGGAAGGATTGAAGGTCCAGATGTTGAAATGGAAGGAAGTCAAAGAGGAAAGTTCAAAATGCCTGATGTGAAAATGCCAGATGTTGACATCTATCTGTCTAAAGGAAAGATTGAAGGTCCAGATGTTGGAATGGAAGGAGGTACAGGAGGAAAGTTCAAAATGCCTCAGATGAAAATGCCCAACATCGACTTCTCTCTGCCTAAAGGAAAGATTCAGGGTCCAGATGTTGAAATGGATGGAGGTACAGGAGGAAAGTTCAAAATGCCTCAGATCAAAATGCCAGATGTTGACATCTCTCTGCCCAAGGGAAGGATTGAGGGTCCAGAGATGGCTATCAAGGGAGATGGTGCTAAATTCAAGATGCCACATCTCAGTATGCCCTCTGTTGATGTTTCACTTCCTAAAGGAAAGATCGGTGATCCGGATATTGAAATAGAAGGAGGCACCGGAGGCAAATTTAAAATGCCGCACTTGAAAATGCCCAACATTGACATCTCTCTGCCCAAAGAGGATATTGAAGGTCCAGGCGTTGAAATCGAGGGAAGTAAAGGAGGAAGATTCAAAATGCCTCACATGAAAATGCCTAACATTGACATATCTCTGCCCAAAGGAAGGATTGAGGGTCCAGATATTGAAATGGATGGAGGTACAGGAGGAACGTTCAAAATGCCTCAGATGAAAATGCCAGATGTTGACATCTCTCTGCCTAAAGGAAAGATTGATGCTTCAGGGATGGAGATCAAAGGTGATGGTGGGAAATACAAGATGCCACATCTCACCATGCCCTCTATTGGTATTTCACATCCCAAAGGAAAGATTGAAAGTACAGATTTTGAAATAGAGGGAGGTGCTGAGGGAAAGATCAAAATGCCTAGCTGGAAAATGCCAGATTTTGACATTTCTCTGCCAAAGAAAAAAATGGAAGGCCCTAAAGTTGAAATACAGGGGGGTGAAGGAGGAAATGTCAATATGCATGATGTGGACCTATCTCTCCCTAAAGGAAAACTGGAGGCTGAGGGAAGAACCAGCAAGCTGCCGCATATCAAGATGCCAAAAGTTGATATTTTACTTCCTAAAAGTAAAAGTAAAGATATTGAAACATTGAATCCATCCTGTGAAGCAGAGATCAATTTACCAGCTGTTGAATTAGGAGGGGAAATTGTGCCAAAAGTGTCATCACCAGAGTTGGACGTCGATGCAACACTGAATAGACCTAAACAAGGCACAGAAGCTCTTGGGGAAGCTGACTTGCATGTTGAGGGGGAGCACAAAGGCCTCAAACTTAAGATACCTACAATAGACATCAAATGTCCAAAAGGCGACCTGGAGCTGGATTTAGGACTTTATAGAGGAGAGGGCAAGAAGGACAGGAAAAAGATGGAACTACCTGATTTAGATATCAGCACAGCAGGAACCAGCAGCAAAGTAAAGGGCCCTAAAGTCAAAGGAACAAAATTCCACATTGGGATGCCAAAAAAGAAGACTGGTCGAGATGTAAAAGCAGAAGCAAAAATATGCAAAAACTGCGGTGATGAAGATTTAGGTGGTCATATCAAACACAAATGCAAGAGAAACGAAACATTTAAGTACGAAGTTGAAATTGAAACACATAATGGACATAAAAATAACAAAGGTCGTGTTAACATCCCAGTACCAGAGTGTACTTTACCAAGTGTTTGTCTGACAAACAAACAAGGCTCGGCTGACTTTGGAACAGCGGGAGAGGGTGGCTTCTCATCATCCAGAGCAGAAATGAGAGTGCCCAGGATTCCAGACATAGATTTTGACATAGGTACAACACAGGATGAAGATGAGGACGGAACAGAAAAAGACAAGAAAGTCAAAATCCCTAAGTTTGGGGTCCCATTACCCTCCATCTCCTCTCCTAAGGGAAGAATGAATATCACTGGGCCAGAAATTCAGTATGAGGGTCCTAAAATGCCTAAAGTAAAGAAAGCTGTATTTGTCTTGGTAAATCCTCCTCAAACAGGTGAGCCCACTGCATGCTCACACCTCCCAAAAGAGGAGGCGACAGCTCAGGCTGAAACAGAAGGATTTAACGTGAAGTTGCCAAAAATCATAATGAAGCCAAACTTTGGGAAGTCCAAAGAAAAATCAGCTGCTGTGTCGTTTTCTCCTAGCGAATCAGGGTCCTTTGATGTCAATCTTAAGGGTGACGGTTCAAGATCCAATTTCAATGGTGCAAAAGATCCTCACATAAGCTCCAAGGATGATAAAGGGACATTCAGCGGCAAAATCAATCTTCCAAAGGTACAGTTAACATCTCCATATGGCAAGATGTCTGTAGAGGGGGAGGACTCTGGCATGAATATGAAACTGGGAAAGGATTTAACAACAGTACACATGGAGGAATTCACTAAAGAACTTAAAGTAAAATCAGGCAACATGGCCTTCTCTGGTTTTAGTGAGGAGCTCCCAAAGGATGTGGTGTCATCTCATGCCAGAACAGACATGCTGGACAGAGACAGCTCAGAGTCCCCTGCTAGTTTCACCATGGAGTTTAGCTCTGCAAAAGTCCAGCCATGGAGCGAGGTCGAGAGCCAAAGCAAGGAACCCGAAGAAAGGGAGTCTTCCACCTGGTTCAAGGTCCCTAAGTTCAACCTGAAGCCACACTCCACAGGTAAGGATACCAAAACTTCAAACGTTGATCACAAGACATTTGAAAAATGACACATAGTCTTTTGCAAAGGGTTGACGATATCCAAGTCCTACTGTAGGTGTCTTATCATGTGACTGACTTTCAGTATAACTCGTGCAGTATTTACTTTTTGGATGTTTGTTTCTTAGTCTTTCACCAGTTCTCTGAACATTGAAATGCAACACAAAACCACTGCATCACTCCTATTTCAGAGACATTGAATAATTGCACAAGTCTTTCAAAAATAATAATAATTCTCAAATCAAATAAGTAAATTACTTAATACCTGTTTCTTTCCTTATTTCACTATTTTGTCATATGTTGTTACAATTGGCACTACTACATTATACATCATCAGCAATTTATCCTTGCTATTTTTAATGTGTTGTGTTTTTGTGTTTATTATATAAATTAATAATATATTTTTTATATATAATATATAATATGTATATCCCCTGCTACTTCTCTGCTACATAAAACTAAGTTTCTTTTCTGTCATGATTTCCTAACCTCTCATCCTTTCCTATCCTTGCTTCCTTTCTTCTACCCACCTGCTTGTCTCCTCCCCTCCAGGCTTCCTCCAGATAACCCCCGAGGGTTCTCCTCAGGCCCAGCGGAAGGGGGAGGTGGCAGGTGAGGCTGATGTCTCAGGGTCTTTCTGCCTTCACACCTCAGGGCTCGACTTTAGCACGCAAGAAATATCTGAGGAGCACCAAGCCTCCTCCGCTGAGGAGGGAACTGTCACCATGGTGACCAAGACCACCAGAGTCACCCGTCACATGGTTTCCTCTGAGATACGAACAGGTGAATCTTCAGCCACCACAACAACAACAACTCACAAGGTGTCGGACTTTAAATACTGAGGATGCTGTAATCATATCTTAAATGTCTTTAAATCTTGTTGGGTTTCTTGGTGAGGTTGCAGTGTTCTTGTAGCCTAGGCTAAGCCTGCGAAGTGGCAAACCTCGATTAGGTAAAGGTCTTTCTTTTTTATTTTAATGGGTGAGATATGAATGTGATGAAAAAACAGTTGCATTTCATCAATCGGCATCATTGTCATTATAAAACCAACAGAGTAATATGTGCTTCCTTTCTTCTCATTTTAAATGTAATTTTTGTAACTGTTGTTAGAGTTTTGTTAGTTTAGTTTGTATTATTTATCAGATTTTGTTTGGTTTTAAAGTTTTCACTCTGAATGTAAACATGTCACACTGCTTGATTATTTATTGTTGTTTGTTCACAATGCGCTGGAATGAGTCATTTACTCTCATCAGTATCATGGATTTGACAATTATTTGAACTGCAACAGTACAGGCCAGAGTAATGTTCATGTAAATACATCCATATCATTGCTTTTATGAAGCAGTATTCCCTCGATTAGAAATGTAATTATTTTCATATTCACCAGTCAGGAGAAGAAGTTATATTGTGTGACCTAATAATAACCTGTTTTTTTGTCTTGAAGGAAAAGTGTGAGCTTTTTGAGATTATAGGCTAATCTCATTTGCTGCCATAGTTTTATATTTGACGCATTTAGCTGATGCTGTTACCCAGAGACAGTCACGGTGCGTGAGCAGGACACTCTGGACTCTTTTCTTGCTGTGGGGATCAGACCTGTGACTTCTGGTTGAAGGTTCATACATTTACTGTAGGCCACCCTGCTGCTAATCAATTTTATATTCATGTTTTTACTGTAGACTGCCAAAAAACACACTGCTGTATATTTTGTGTGTTGACTCTTGGCTTCAAGATACACATCCTGACTGATGCTGATGTTTTGCAACTCATCTGTGAACTATGTTGTGTTTCAGAACATCAATAGCAGGCTCAGAGGACATTTGGGGATTAGGGTGCTGTTGGGTGCTTTAACAAAATCACTGAGATAAGGTCTACATTTCAAACTGTAAAACTTTTTCTCTTGAAACTTAAAAAATGGTCCTCAAAAAATGATGTTACTTTCAGGCTGCTACAATGACATTTCAATTATTGATCAAAATCAAAGTTGAGGTTAAGCCTTTTGCCATCTTTAAAAAAAAAGTTTGTTGACTACACATTTAGACATGTAAAATGAATTCCCAAATGCAATATAGTACCTACACAAACACAGCTTCTGTAATGATACTGGCATCAAAGTAGAACTTTTTAAAGCTACCGATTGTATTCACATCTCATAGCCATTGTCAGTTTCACAGGGTATACAATACAGAGCTACTTTTAAGGTGGATATAACGCATTTGAGAATGGACAGTCTTTCATTAACATATTTTAAGACTGGGCCTGTTTCTCGGGTAGCAACAAGGTCAAGGTAACACACACCTATTCATTTCTATTTGTATTAGGATTTTTACCTTTCTGATTTAATCAAGTCTTCAAGTTTCTTTTGGATTATAAAGGGTTTCAGTGCCAAGTGTTTTTGTCAAAGCTGCATTGGAGAGAATGTTTAAGATGTCAATAAATAATAATCAATAAAATTATATAATTTTAAATGACAGCTTCCTGATGTTTTGACTTTCACACTGGATACATTATAAGTTAGATAAAAAGCTGACTTGTATTTTTGTCTATCATGGTTCTTTTTTTTTTCTGGCAGAAAAGGGCTTTCATACAGTAGCCCCACTACACTTAATGGGACCCATGTTAAGTCATGATTTATACAACCGTCTTTATTTAGCGAGACGACAACAACAACCTCATGTCTAACATGCAAATCCAACATTATGTTGCTAATTAAAAAAAAGTAAATGAGTAGCATTTTAAAATGTACAATGTTGGTGCTCCCAGGTGATGATATTAAATAACAGAAGTGCACGCCCCCTACAGCTATGGTTATTTTTAAGTTTACTGCAGTTTACACATCTCTATTAATGGATTGTTGGACATGAGGACCAATAACTCTTACTTGTTAACATGAACTGGAAAGACTGCAGGACCATAAACTGTATTGTAGGCATCAAATACAGAAGCAGAATACATTAACAAAACACTGAAACACATATTATTCTCACCTCAAGGAAAAGAGGGAGAAAAATAATCTCCTAACCAGAGACCCAAAAGCACATGGATTAGCCTTTTTAGAAAAATTCCTGAAGAGGAGGAGACAGTGATAAACTATGGACACCGGTGCATGACGTCTTCCCATTGTGTGTGTGTGTGTGTGTGTGTGTGTGTGTGTGTGTGTGTGTGTGTGTGTGTGTGTGTGTGTGTGTGTGTGTGTGTGTGTGTGTGTGTGTGTTCTCCAATCCTCTGCTGTGATGATGCTGTGCGACGCGTATGTGAGGGCAGTTTAATATGTATGAGGAGTGAATAATGCCACAGAGAGAAGGTAGACTGCTACAGTACATCACCAGATACACTCTCACTGTAGCAGACTTTCCTTTTAGAGAGCGATGGAGCATTCTGTTACACTTATCAACTCAGACGCTGTTCAATTAAACAGGACTGCCTATTCCATCATTTCCGTAGGCCTATGACCTCATCAATGCCCGTTAAAGCTGAAATGTGGTACTTTAACATATGTAACATTCAGTGGTGTAAAGTAGTTATGTATATTAAGTACTGTGCTAAGAAACATTTTGAGAGGGTTGTACTTTACTTGAGCATTTCAATGTTTTGCAATTTGCACTTCTACTACATTTCAGGAAATAGTGTACTTCTATTCTACTACGACTATTAATACCTTTGGTTACTTTACATATTTGGATTAATGATGTAATGATTCCACCTGGAGTAAATCCACAAGCTACCCTGCAGTATACAAAGTCATTCAAACTAGCTGCACCTTCACCAGCTTTGAGAACACTTTCATGATCAATCATTATAAAACATATAATATATATTATTCTTGAATAGGTCAATCTACACAATGAGTACTAATGGATACTTTTACTTTTGGATATTTTGTATTTTATTACTAATCAGTCTGTACTTTTGATTGAGTAACATTTTGAATGCAGGACTTTTACTTGTAACAGAGTATTCCCCCACTCTGGTACTTCTACTATTTCTTAAGTAAATTATCTGAGTACTACAACCATGGTTACATTCAAGCCAAGGGGGCCGGAAGCGGGGGGGCCATTGGCCCCCCCCACTTTACGGCCCTGCCCCACATTTTCGCAGCAGCGGATGCCGCGGAACCCTGTACACATCCCGTTTCAATAATTCCCCTCTACTCTAAAGTCGCATCTAAAAAGAACGCCATCTGATCTAGCTGTGTATATTTTGTTATTGTTGATTGTTATATTCAATCTCATTAGCTACAGGCCTTTTTGAAGGGAAGAACACAGCTCGCCTCTCACTCGCCACTCTGCTCTTCTACAGCGCCGCTTCCCCTCCCTCCGCTGACATTATGAATGTAAGGCATAGTAATCATAGATAACACGGCAGGGTCCCTTACAGTTTGTTTTCATCTGATTTCAAATAAATAAAGTCTTGGCTTTCAGAATATTAAACTTGTTTCGGCAAATTCAGATGATAAATACAGCTTTGAAGCTTTTAACGGCATAATTACAAGCGGAGAACGGAGTAACTTAACGTCACAGCAGGCATAACAACAGCCAGTGTTTCTCCTGAAAGTTTTCCCCGGGAAACAAACGCAAAAATACACACACACGTGGTATACACGCACACACTCGCGAGCTCCCCCCAGACCAGTAATCCAAACGAAAATATCTTCCCTCCATACTACTTTGATCATTTGCTCCGCTAATAATCAATCAGACCGATCCAGAGAAGAGGAAACTTTAAGGCCTTTTTCTCAAAATGATGACTCGGTGACAGTCATTATATAATGTGACATATTTTGCTTAATATAGTACAAAAACAATCCTGATATCATTAGAAAGCTAGGAATCTCCTCTTTCCAACAGTGTATACAACTCAAAATGTGTCTTCGGATCAATGCGACTAATTTCGATGGAGCAGGTCACTTTGCATTAGGTAAAATACAGCAGGCAGACATAACAGGAAGAATATGTACATTTTAATCCAATCAAATAGGACATTATCACACCATTCAAATGTATCCATGTACATTACAACCAATAACAAAGCTTAGATGTGTTTATTTGTTACGTTGTTTACGTTATGTGTTACGTTGTTCAGTGTGTGTCAGCCGTTAACCTAGATAGATAAACTTGCAAACATGTCAGAAGAACCGGCGCATAAGAAAACAAAATACAGTCAAACTAAGCTGAAATTCAACAACTTGAATGTCACATCCCTGACATCTGCACCTCCGGAGCCTGGTCCTTCAACCATAGAACCACCTCCGGAGCCTGGTCCTTCAACCATAGAGCCAGCTCCGGAGCCTGGTCCTTCAACCATAGAACCAGCTCCGGAGCCTGGTCCTTCAACCATAGAACCAACTCCGGAGCCTGGTCCTTCAACCATAGAACCAGCTCCGGAGCCTGGTCCTTCAACCATAGAACCAACTCCGGAGCCTGGTCCTTCAACCATAGAACCAACTCCGGAGCCTGGTCCTTCAACCATAGAACCAGCTCCGGAGCCTGGTCCTTCAACCATAGAACCAACTCCGGAGCCTGGTCCTTCAACCATAGAGCCAGCTCCGGAGCCTGGTCCTTCAACCATAGAACCAGCGCAGCCAGATGAACCCCAGCAGCAGCTCTGCGGCCGCAGAAGCTGTCAAAACCGCCGCCGCCGGCATCGTTGAACCGAAACAGGCTGGTTCCGACTGCATGGAGGTTTGTTGTCGGGACATTGTGACGGGCCAATAAAAGCTTATTTGGGCAAAGAGAAGGTACTTCAATGCAGAATGGTACAAAAACAGAGAGTGGTTAATTATTTACAAAACCACTGAACGAGCCTTCTGTGAAATATGCAGATGTGCTGCTGTCAAACGGCTTGTAACTTTCTCCAAATGTGGAGATGACAGCTTTGTAAATACCGAGTTAATAACTGGAACTTTTCACAGAGCTTACTTCAGTCAAACACCAGTCAACATTCAGCTTGTCAAACAAGAGCGTAGCAGGAAAAAAGAAGAGATGGAATGTCATATGTGTGGGCTGGTCTGTATAGTTTAATGTACAGGAAAGGAGTGAGCAGAGGGTTGAGTTGTCCATTCTTGTTCTGTTTTCTCTGACTATCTTCCTCCTGAAGACCCTCTCAGACTTTCATTTGCTCGCGCTACTAAAATGACACGTTACCATGGAAACCAAACAATGGTGTAGCTGTATTGAAGTCCGAGTGGAAACAGTAACATTTGGTGCGTTATGTTAGAATGAAACAAATCAGATTTAGTCAGAAATCGGGAGAAATGCGGGATAAATATGACCCCGGGAGGAAAACGGGAGGCTCCCGCGAAAATCGTGAGGGTTGGCAAGTAGGCTGTCACATACACACGCACTTTTTGCCCCCCCCCCCACTTCTGAAATGAATCCGGCGCCGCTGATTCAAGCCTTTGTGAAATGAGTTTACACAAAGTTCCCCCCCCCCATGGAACTCTCCATCTCAAGTCTTCCTAAGCATTTGTTCTCCCCAAATCATTCCTTCTTTTTAGCTGGGTTGTATTCTGGAGCATTCCGTCCAGAACCCCCCCTCTCAGCCATACACTTAGCTGCTGCGTGTTGCTGTTATTCTCACTGCCAGAGGAGGGAGACAAAGTTCCCCAACCTTAAGATATGAAATGAATGTATTATACAGCAGCACAGGCAAGTCACAATATTAAGCAACAATGAGGGAAAAGGATCTGACAATAATTAAAACTTGCACATGGATGAAATATGTATCAATATATTGGCTGCACAATTGAAATAGTTCAAACCTTAATATATACAGTCTATGGTTCAAACCTATTTATAACACGTGTTTCATGTCGTGACTCAAGTTGTAATATAGCCTACTCAGCCAGAAATGAAACCGTTTTGTGCAACACAAGAATCAGTGGTGGAAATACTAAGTACTTTATGCTGTACTGTACATTTATACTCTATTACATTTGGAAAAGCAGAAGCAAATTGTGTACTTTTTACTCCAATACATTTATTTTACAGATGTATGTATTAGTAACTTTACAAATTCAGATTTTGACACACAATACTTAGGGGAAAACTTTTACATTTGATTATTTGGTATAGATTGAAACCATCTAACATTATATTTAAGACACTAACCATGTGTGAGTTAACATGCATGAAAATGTATTAGCAGCTAAGTGAATTGTTTAAAAAATATTTGACAGTTCCAGATTTGTGTGATGTTTTTGCTCCTTTTGCTTCAAAATATTTAGAATAGTTAAGAATTAGTTGAGTATTTATACTCGTGTAAATAATCTAAATACTTTTTCCACCACTCACAAGAATACACAGGCACATATGTATGTAGGTATGTATGCAAATGTGAAACCAAATGTGAAACCTTAGAAAGCAACACTGACTATTTTAATATGGCTAAAACAAACATGACCTTTTATCTTATTATTTTCATTCTTTATTTATGTATTCTGTTTTTAGTACAACTAACAATTTATTTTAAAAAAATGGCATCAACAACCTCGCATACCCTTCCGCCTCACTCGCCCCCCCTGCCTCTGTGTGGCACTGTGCACCCCCCCTATGGGTGAGTGGGCTGCAAGTCAAATGAGCTCTCCGTCATCCTGCCGCCGAGCACCGGAGGTACTGCGGTAAGATGCGGCGACGCACGATGCCGAGCGCTGGATGAAATGATGCGCAATGGCCGAACGAGTGGGGGGGGGAGACCGAAGAAGCATTCACTAACTGCGGGGTCTGCCTCTGATCTACACGAGAGGGCTACAGCGATGCGTGTGTGACTGATCTGTAGAGCTGCAGCTCCAGTGGTGCAGGCCGAGGGGAAGGATGTGATGCCGCTGAAGGATGCTCCACAGCCCGAGGAGGGAAGAATAGGCTTCGTCTGTAAGGAAGGAAGAGAGACATTAAGTGAAGGACACTTCATTTAAAGACACTAAGGCATCGAATAAGGTGAGAATCAATCAGAGCATTCCTCAGGCATCCCTTTCAGGACATGTTGGATGTTGGATACAGATTCTCCAGGTACAGTGTGTGGTTACATGTGGCTCATCTTTATCACAGTGCTACACATCCTGCTCATATGTGAAGGCTAATGTGATATGCATGGCCCAAACCTATTTCTACTTGAGTCCCTGTGGGCAAATCATTTTAACTATGTAGGCATGGGGGGTGGATTTATGGATTAATGGCCACCTGTGATTCATTTTGTGTCCCTTTAATGGTTCTGTAAGGCTGATGCAACTACTCATCTAATTGGCACGCTGATGGACATGGTGTGAATTCCAATCTCATATAAGAATAGGGCTCTGTTGTGTCAGAGTAGTTCGAAAAAGAAGCCACTTAGATTTAAATGCATGCCCTTTGACAAACTCACACCCCCACAGACATGACAGCTGTACTCCACTCAGCCTAATCACATCTCTGTGTGGGATTTATTAAGTATGTTTTCATTTAGATTTGAATAACATCTGTGCAGAATCTGCTTTAAATTATTTCTTATTAATGAGATAAGTAATGTATTCCATGGTGTCTCCTCCTGGTATTATTTCAGCTAAAGCAAACAATTAACATATGAGTGTTTCTGTGTTCATAAGCATCACATTCGTCTTAAATGTCTTCTTTTGTCCCACTTCCCGCAGGTTGTTTGTGACAGCTGAGTCAGTCCTCAGTGATGAGAGAGCGGCCGACAGGGAGGACGTTTAAGCTCTGAAGACAGCATCACTGAGGAAAACAAACTTCTCATTATCCACTCCATCATCAGCGCCGACAAATGGATGTCTGACCTGGGCGTTTATTTTCTTCAGGACTCTCAAAGTTGAGGAGGGATAAAGAGAAACAAGCACTACTCCAGCTGGCTGTCAGGGAAACAGCTCATTCTATTTCTCTTTTTTGTCAGAATGAACTAAGATTTTAGAAAGAGAGTCTTTCAGTGTCGAGTAGATTTGTCAGAATGAAATGATACAGTATTTCATAATGCTTACTGTATTCTTCTTCCAACTATGATATGTTTACCTTTTGAGCTGTCACGCTCTGAATCAAGAATAGACTCTTGATAGTGCCAGCACTTCCTCTCATGAATAGGATTTCAACTTGACCTGACCTGATCTGATCTGCATTTTAATAAAGCATAAGCGAGGACAAACCAATAAAACATAGATGAGGCCAACAACAAGCACCATGCTCCAGCAGAATAACAACAACAACTACCCCTGCCTGAACGTGTCGGGCTCCACCAGAGACATGCTCCAGAAGTGCTCCAGAGCCTCTCTGCCCTTCCCCAGCCGACTGGAGCTGGGCCTGGGAGACCTGCCGCTGATCCGGGGCCTCCGAGCCTGGGCCCTGTGCTCCAAGAACCGCCGGAAGGTGGGAGGAGGAGGACAGGCCCCCATAGCTCCTCCTGCGGGCCGTGGGGGTTCCACTTCCTGCCCCAGGCCTGCAGATGTGTACCTGAGTGGGGAGTGGGGTCGCATGGGGTACGGGCTACCTCTGGGGCTGGACGCCAGGCAGGCTGGGCTTGGAGCCTTAGTTACAGTGGCCACTCTGAAGACCTCAGAGGGCAGCGGGAAGACACAGACTCAATGCCTCTTCCTCCGGACTGAGAAAGGAAGCTGTTTGTACTCCACAGCCAAACCCAGTTCTGGGGGGACTACCAGTGCAGCCTCCAGCGTGGTTGGAGGATGGCTGAGAGGGAAGACAGGCGGAGGAGGAGGAGGAGGAGGAGGAGGAGGAGGAGGAGGAGGAGGAGGAGGAGGAGGAGGAGGAGGAGGAGGAGGAGGAGGAGGAGGAAACCGGGTTAGGGTGCGATCTGGCCGGAGATGGAGGAAGTCAAATAATGCTCTGGAAAAAAGAGGCGTGAGCAGAGAGAGGCAGCAGAGCAGCAGGGAGGATCCTGCAGGAGAAATCTCTCTGGAAGAAAGGCAGGAAGAGCCAGACAAAGGACGCCTGGCCAGTAAACAGCTTCCCAGCCCGCAGCAGGACAGCAGGAGAGCCAGGCAGGAGAGAGACGCAGCAAGCAGAAGTCCTAGATGCTGCCACAACGCTTCTCCCAGAACCTGTGCTCGGTGTGTAAGGAGAGCACAGAGGAGGGGAAGCCAGGATGGACACGAGGCAGGAGAAAGTCCAAGAAGAGGCACCTCAAACAGGATAAAGGGTGAGGGGAAAGGAATGAGGAAGGGCATGCAAAGGAATGAGGAGGAGGAAGAGAAGGGAGGCCTCTGCGGGTTAGAGTCATCCAGTTCTGTTTGGGCTGTACCAGACCCTGAGCTAGAGTCTAACCACTCTCATCCAGAATCCAACAGCAGCTGTGATGGTGAAGAGACTGGAAAAGAGAGCAACGAGGAGCTGAAGACACAAACCTCTCAAAGCAAGGACGACTATTCAGAAAGAGAGGAGGATAACAACTCTGAGGTTATGAAACTAGATACTGGAAACAATGATTCTCCTCTTGGCCACTCTGGACAGGGTAATGTTACCTTAGGACTTAACAGAGATCTTGATGACAGAAAACCAAGTGAAAACCCCTGTGAAGAAGTAGCACCTAATATGAATGGATGTCCTGATCAGTCTGGGGCAGATCAAAACACTGACACAGAAAGGGAGAGTGTGGATGTTGAAGAGAAGGAAGGGAGCATCAATCGGACTCCTGCAGAATTCCCGGTTTTCTCCGACTGCTATGAGGAGGTCTCTGTCTCCATCAGCACTGCAGTCTCCCTTGAGCTGTCCACTCCTGTAGAGGGCAGCACCTTCAATAATGACCATGAGATGTGTGTTCAGAGAGAGCAAGTGAACTCCAGAACAGATCCCCTTGAGGGGTATCAACAAGGGGTGGCAGACCCAGGAATCGTTGCTAAAAGAGAACTGGATCTAATCAGACTTGTGCAACCAGAACCCAACTGTGCGGCTGCCGAGAGCAACACTGTGAACACAAACAGGAAACCCCTGTTTTCCTTTCAAAATGCAGGAAATGGCAGCGTGCTACAGGAGAGAGAAGCTTCGTCTAAGCCTCCAGGACACAGAGATCCTTCCATTTCTGAGACAGACGGGAGGAACGTAACAGGGAACGATTGCAACTGTAGTCCAACTGAGCTTAACAGAGCAGGGCCCAGAGATGAGCTGGTGTTGGGTAATAGAGAAGCAGAGTTACATGAAGGGGATACAGAGGAGAAAGAGGACACATCTGGAGAGATTTTGAGGAGGGAATGCACCTGCTTTGAGCTGGACAATGCCGAGGGCAAAGGTGACAAAGAACGAAATACAGAGGGTCCCACAAATGAAAGTTCCATACAGGAGGATAATGACAAAAAGGAAACTGAAAATTGTGCACAAATGGACAATTGGAGGGTAGAGGAGTCTGCAGGCGGATGCAGGGGAAGGGGGAAAGAGGTTGTAGACACCTGTGGACAATCAGCCCATGTTGAAGCAACTGGAGAGACCGGCAGTACTGTTGCCTGTGCTGATCCCCCCACCTCTCTTGCACTCTCCCTGGCTAATCCTGCCCCCACTTTTCAGCCCCTGAGTTCCATGGAAACCAGACTGCAATGTTTGGACGAGAATGTGGAGAAGGAAAGGGTCGGAGTGCTGGAAGGAGACGAAAAAGGAGGCCAGGAAGGGAAGAAGAGGCTCAGGAGACTATTGGAGGAGCAGGGTGAGGCGGAGAGGGTCTCCACCGTGGCCACTGAGGAGGAGGGGAGAGAGGAGGAGGGGAAGGAGGAAGAAGATGAGTTTGGAGTATTCATGCAGGCGGAGGGAGAGCCGGCCTGGAGCGAGGGATCCACCACTGCCCCAGTGCCTTGTGGGAGCAGAGAACGTGTTGGTGAGTCTCACCGTTTGTAGTTCTGTCTCTTTCTGTGTATTCTGGTTAGCCCCTCCTCCTCTCTCTGTCTTTCTCTTTTAGTATCTCTCTGGTATCTTTCAGAGTTTACGTGATTTTGCTTGGAATGGACATGGGACAGAGGATCCTTTGGTTAACAAAGCTGACATTAAAGGCCTCAGCAGCGGAGTCTTTTAAAGTTGTCAGAAATGAACAACATTAGAGACCTTTCACACTCGCTCAGGGTATTAGTGCAAACGTAACCTTTTATACAGTCTCAGGAATGCACATGCACTCTGATTTAAAGGGCCACACCAAATCACAAGTCAGTCAACTTTATTGTCCATCTTGTGTGTGTGTGATACAGAAATGCTGTTTATCACCTTCCAGAGGAATACAAATATATATAAAAACATTAAGAGGCATAAATAAAAAGGCACAACAGTCAATATATAAAAAAGACTCCATATCACAGTCATTCATTTGTAGTACCTTTTTTCCTGTTCAGCCATAGCATTAATTATCAATATGTACCTAAATTCCTTTACATGCGATTATGATCTAACAGTGAAAGATCATTCTGCACACCTGGAAGAGCTTTTCTCAACCCATGTTGAGGCATGTGTTTGCAGAAGTATATCTCATTCCTTTTTCACATTGATCAGCAATTTTAGCACCTAGCTTTCTTATTTAAATCATGATACAAAAAGAAGTTGAAGCTTTACACCCTTTGGAATAGCAACAAATGGCTGCCTGATTAGTACGAACATATGTCATCAGCGCTCTGAGCAAGACATGTCACCTGAATGCCTAGATAATAGTCTTTCAATAATAATCATCTCTTATATAGCCAACGCAGTTATGACATGCACCTGAGTGTGTGACATATGTGTGCTTTCCTGTTTGTCCTTGTTAGTTGGGTTTCATGTTTCCTCATTATGCTCCCTTTAGCTAATCCGGGGTTTCATCTTATTTACTATGTATCTCTTCTCAGTTTATCCACCTGTAAACATCCACCTTAAAAGTTATGCTAAAGATTTATCAGCAGAAGTTGCTTTCTCTGTTGACAGAAATCCCTTTGTGTGAATCATTGTGAGCTGAAGGACCATTCCAGTGTTTTTGCAAATGTACTTTTAAAGGTCCCTTCACCAAAATGACATGACGTTTTGTTTTGTGAATTATCCAGAATTCCTTGAGACTATTTCTTTGTTTGAAAGTTAGTTCCAATTAAAATGTTGTATCATTTTTCAGCACACACACACACGGCTAAATAAAATGTAATTGATCTCCATTGTGCAACGTTGAAGCATAACTTCATTTAATTGATGTAAACTTTGAATTAACTAGCTATCCAGTAAAGGTGAGAATCTTTTGAAATACTCCATGGCAGCCAGGTTTTGTGACATGCGCACTGAAGAGACTTGCAATTATTTGCCGTGGACTTCTGCTTTCAGACGTAGTTAATTACTAAGTTATTATCCTATCCGATAATAATCCAATTCAGAGGCAATAATGTAATAATACATTATTTTATATATATATGATATAGTTATATAGTTACAACCGGCCCTTTGAGTGCAACCTTTATGCGAATGTGCCCGCGATGAAATTCAGTTTGACACCCCTGACCTAAACCAATGCTACTACATGCAGACTTAATGCTTGCTGTCACTGAATAGAGGTTTAATCAAGCACAAAGAAGTATGTTCAAATATTGTCATATACTACTGAAATGAATAGAATTAAATGGTTGCCTTCAATCTGCATACAAATCATTAAAAGATCTACACAAAACACAAGAGTGTAGTTTTCAAAGATAACAATAATAAATGTAATTTACAGTAAACATTAGACTACAAACTTTTAAACTACAGGTATTGTTCAGAAGGAATTGATTGTGGAACTCGAAAATAACAAAACAAAAATGAGTTGACTAATAACAATACTTAGCTCTGCAGGGAAACTGAGACTCTGTTCTGTCCTGACCTGAATTCCTGACAGATCTCTTGTTCTTGCTACATGCTATTAATCATTCAGAGTTAGGGGAAGGGAGGGGGGCAGCACACAGGGCCTGGGTCTCTAGTTAGCCTGAGGTTATGGAGCAGCGGGTGATAGAGAAAGTCACACAAAGACGACTGAAGTGTCTGATAGACACATCATGATAAGTTGGAGCAATGGGAGGTAGGGATGTTTTAGCATGGTAAACAGCATCATTCACAGCAACTATGTCACACAAAAATGATGTGTTTCCTTGCAACGAGTTGATTAATGTAATTAATTAATTAATGGTAATTTGCTCTGACACTGTGTGTGTGTGTGTGTGTGTGTGTGTGTGTGTGTGTGTGTGTGTGTGTGTGTGTGTGTGTGTGTGTGTGTCTGTGTGTGTGTGTGTGTGTGTGTGTGTAGCACATGGAAGCCGCGCCCTCGCTGGGGAGCCGACCCACTGGACACCAGGCTTGACGGATAGCCTAATCCACCAATCAGATGACAGGTGGACAGCCTTCCCTCAGGACTGGTCAGATGAAGGTGGAGACATGGTGGGACAGTGGTGGCCGACCAGCGCTGTGGAGGAGAGAAGAGAACCGGCCAATCAGAATCTGGTAAAGATGTCAAGTCTTCTCAGCTTTTTAAAGATGACTTCCATGAAACCATAATGTGGTAATTATGCCTCAGATGTTTCTGTTGAGATTGCATCCATTTCTCTGAGAATTCACTGAAAAACTCTCCGTGATCATTTCATTTCATCCTCAGCATAATATTGTATTGTGAAGTTGAGTCAGCAGACCCAGCAATATCATCTTTTTTATTCCATGCATTGTTCTTTATATACTGTATATGCAACTCGACTGAGAATTGGAGATTCGTGTGTTAGATTTCGCGTGGGCCACAGTAGTCTGGTAGAGACACTTTTTTTCTGATTCTTTTTACTCTAGATTTGTGTCATTTTCAGACTTGTAATCTTCAGACCCAGTCGAGGATGATTCAGGTGAACTGGAAGTTGGGACAGCCTCAAAAGGCTTTTTGCTTCCTTTGCTCTACTTGTAAAATACAGAGTTGTAAGCCATTAGACTCTTCAATTAGGGCTTTGTGTATTTGGGATTATCAAACCTAACCTTAATGGCGGATCAACTTAAGCTCAACCGGCTTTATCTACCTGTAAACCAGCTATTCATTGCTTACAATTGCAAAAATCATTTGAAAAATCCTACAACAAAGACGGTTTGAGATCACTGCCTTCAACTAGCTTCGTTGATAGCTCAATAATAATAATAAGCTAGTAAGTTATCTATCACAGTCGGAATGTGTATCTTTTTTGGTGCATTTCTGTTGAATGATGATGCAAAAACAGTGTTTGAATCTAATATTATCTGCAGGTAAACTCTGGGGTTAAGTTGTAGTCAAAGCTCACCATCAACATCACCAATGCCTAATTTCAGATACTTTAAGCCTGCACAGTTCTGGTCAAACCTTTGGTTAAAAGATTTGTCTGGGCTGCACATTAGAGAAAAGATTTGGCCAGGCTGCCCTTGAGTTCATGAAAAGCCTCTCCCAACCTCAGCCTGGAATGTATTTTTTGTAAAGTACGAGACAGACCAAATACTTTGCAATTAGTGTTATTAAGAGTCAGACAGAATATCAAGAGTGCTGTAACTTAGTAACTGTAAATCCACTAGTGCTTTAAGATTGCTGTATTAAAACAGGTATGTCTCACACATAGCAACTTTCAAATGTTTCAAGAAAAAGCTTATTTCAGTAATGTTGAGCACTTCTATTCTGGAAACTGTCAAGAAACCCCCTTATTGTCAATAAACCCAGGAAAGCCATAGACAAGTTTATTTATTTATTGATATAGCACCATAAATGATCTCATTGCCCTCAGTATGAGGTCGCAGCAGCTACAGTGAGGTCAGGTTTATTAAACTGGAATAATATCATCACATTTGAATCTAGCCTAACTAAAAAACCCTAACTTGTAGAGCACATTTGTATTCAGTAACTTGAGCTGAGAAGTCAAGAGACCCCTTTAAGAATGAAAATGTGCCTCTTTATTTTTTGGATCTTTATTTTCCGCTTTTTTCTTTTCATGTTTGGTACCAATGACGCAAAGTCTAAGAGGTCAAACACTTGTGATCATGGTGCTGTAAGAGGATTTGAATGAAAGAGGTCCAGTATTTGAGGTGTTGCTGGGGTCACTTTAAAAACGTTGACCCGTTGATTTGAGCTCACTTATCTTCCAGCTGCAGGCTAAATGTGTTGGTACTCTTGACTGTAAATATAAAGGTTGGTTCAGGCTTGCTGCTGGCCTATAAGACCCCGAGTCTCTCAAAGTGAATCAATAGCAACAACAAACACACAGTGTGTTGAATATGTTTCTGTTTATAAATCCAGGCCACGTTTATCAGGGCAGTTGTACCCCAAAGGCTGTGTCTGAAATAAACTGGTCATGAATTATTTAATTGTATACTGATTTGGTGCGTCATTTAAGTCTGCGTACTGCTTTTGTAACTCACATTAGACCAGTCTGAGCTCTCAGTGCTTTCTTCCTTTAAAAATGTAAAACAAGAAGCCGGCACTGCAGGAGGAGTCCCAGTGGACATTAAACGCAGCGAAAAGATGCAGATGAAAAATGAGCTGTGCCGAGAGCTGCAGTGAAGGAGGGGCGTTGGAAGAAAACTGCTTTCATACGAGTTGTTTCATATTCTCACAGTGCCATGAAAAGACATTTAATGGACTCCAGAATTAACTTCTCATGATGAACTGAAGACTGTAGTTGATCTGGTGTCTCTTTGTGTCTCCTGCAGGCGGCTGTCTTTGCTGCAGCCTTCCCCTCGTCCTCAGATGACCCCGGTGACCTCCAGACCGTCCCCACGCTGAGCCAGCTCCTCAGGGGCCGGGCCAGCCAGGAGCAGGGGTGGGTACTCCGTCTCTCTGAGCCCCCTGAGTGGGTACTCCGTCTCTCTGAGCCCCCTGAGTGGGTACTCCGTCTCTCTGAGTCCTTTGATGGTCCTGGTGGTCTGAATATCAGCTGATCTGCTGCCGTGTTTACTGGCTGTGCTGACACATTCCAACGATTTGAAATAGGATATATCAGATCTGACAGAGAGATCCCACATTACGAGCTTGTAATCGGCTTTAGGAAAATGACATGGAGGATTCTTTCCTGTCGGGAGCTCATATTTACTGCTTATCTGACAGGACATGAACACAGCAACACTGCAGCAAGTTAGCCTGCAAGTTGGCAACAGCTGAGCAGTTTACAGCAATACAACTTAAAGGAAATATATGTTTTCTAATATACCTCCAGATACCCACCCATTCATTTGTGTCCTCTGTGAAGCACATTGGGTTTTGGTCCATTACTTTGAGGTTATACATGCCACAGCATTAAGTCCAATTGTTCTCCACAGAGGACATCCTGGGCTTTTCAGACATGTGACATATGTGGGGGTGTGGCTTTGAAAAAGATCATTTCATTGTATTTCAAAATGGCGTCCATCAACACAAGCACTATTTATAGAAAGAGAAATGGTAAGTTTGTAATTTTGTAATTACCAGTGTTGTGAGTTCAATATTTTTAATTAATTATATTAAGGGAACATCTTAGGAGTTAGTGTAGTGAGTTTCAGAACAGTGTAATACTTATTTGACCTAAAACTAAATGTTTTTATGAGGAGGGCATGGGGATTTGCTAACTTTTTATTTCCCCCATTTTACACAACACAAATGGAGTCCACTATGGGCCAAACTAACACTTAGGTTTCTGTAGGGTTCATGGCAGACGGATGCAGTGGGAAAACACACATCAAGTGCCTCAAGTGTCAGATGTATCTCTGCATTTCACAAAAGGATGGAGTACTACAAATGAGGGCTCAATATTTGTTGCATTGAGTTGTGCTCTAATGTTGTCTAAATGTACTTGTATGTTAATGTTGTATGTATACTATGCTTTGCATAACTAACACCCGATGTCCTCTACAAAGGACACACAATAAAACAAAAACATTTTTTTTTTTTTGTTAGTCATTATGTTTGTACCACCCTAAAGACTTGTGTGATAAAAAAAAAGGATATTTGAAACCTTTTTCTTTCTGGGTCTCAGGAGGTTATCTACACAAATCCAGTCAATTATACAACTTCTGGTTATGTTCACGATTGTCACTTTTTTGAACAAGTGTCCATTCAAGGGAACACTGGTTATTTGTATTCAGAATAAGTTACACATTTAGTTAAAATTGAAAAAAATGTTGGTCTGTAAATCTCACTCGTACAATTTGGTATAAAAGAAAATAACAAAACAAACAGATGGAAAATAAATATCAATTACTCCAAACAAGTGCAGAGGAAACAATGCAACCTGGCAGAACAATTATTTTACTGATCCAAAAAAGGTTATCGCGCCTTCCCTTTTACAAAGCACAGCCGTCAAATATTAACCCCAATGCCAACATGCCATTGTGATCGTACATATTTAGTTTTCTGTTGTCCATTGAATCATTTATATCATAGCATAACTCTCCTGAGGTTTTGTTTTAAAACATGCACACAATACATACAATCATATTACTCTAATTTATTTGGATTCTTTCAGGTTGTTATTTCGTGATTTGTGCCATTTGTTTCTAATTTTCCAAGTCTCTGAACGTTTTTATTGAACAAAGCATCATTCTGTGTGGTGCAATGGGATTTTTTTTATTTATTCATAAAAGTGCAGTTTTTTGGTCGTATATAATAATAATGTGTCGTCAAAAAACAATGTTTCATTTCATTTCAAACCTTTATTTAACCAGGTGAATCCCATTGAGATCATCAATCTCTTTTTCAAGGGAGACCTGCAGAATATAAGCAGATATTTCCTGTGTATCCGACACCAAGAGATGTATCTCTTTATAGTCACACCAACAAGAGATGAAGAGCTTGTGGAAAGATGTAATCATTTAAACAAACACCCCATTTGATGTATAATGTATGTTTGAATCGGGGTGGATATGTGTGGGGGTCATCACCATGACTGATTCCCACATCATAGCCACCAGCAGGTGGTTATTGTGGTGAACTGCATCTCTGAAAACAAAACATGGATTGACCCTCACATGGCAGAGTGTGTCTTTGATGCACATCATGGTTTTACAGTTGAAATTGGTTTAGAAACAGACTTTGTTAGACATTGGTTGTCTGATCCTCAAATTTGACAATTTTTCACACATGTCACTGTGAGAAAAACAACATGTTGTTGTGCTCTCACCCGCAGGCTGCTGGACACTTTCCATGACTTGAACAAAATGATTTGCCAGAAATACAAGAGAGGGAACGGGGTGTCTCGTGACCTGCTGCTGAGGACCTTCCACCTGGAGCCGCCGCGCACTGTGAGTAAAGACCGTTCACACTTGCTTTAAAAATGTATTCCGTTACAATTAGTAAATCACTTTTACCACCTGTAAATACTGTAATCAATAACATAATCTGAGTATCAAAATATAAAAGTAAATGTTACCTTATTACTTTCTGTTACTTTTAAATCACCTCAATATTAAATGCAATGCAAATAAATACAAGAGAAAGGAAATATCAATTAGATGTTTTTTAATTAAGTGTGTTATGTAAGACAACAGAACAATGTGACCTTAGAAAAGAAGAAACCAAGGTATTTAGGATCAGAAATGATTTTATGGATAGGAAAACATGCCTTCCATTAAGCAGATTCAGGCAGTAGCCTGCCTATACAGCAACAATGAAACACATGAGCACATGGTTTAACCAATCAGATGTTCACCATACTGCATTTTTTAAAAAAGAGGCTATTGTAAAAAAGAAAGACGATGAAAGCAAATGTAATCAGCACGCCTACCTATTCCACTTTCCAACGGCGAAAGCATTTGTAATTATTCTTTATTTTAAAATGTATTATAACATTCTAATCCTAGTAATCCTAAAATGTAAAAGTCATCTGATAAAGTTTTTACATTGTTACTTTACCTATTTTTCTATAAAGTGAAGATTTGTTTACCTACTTTTGATACATGCTCTGATAGAATAACTGTATGCTGTTGAACAGACCCAATAAACAAAGACAAATAAAAGTAATCTGATGAAAACTTTGTTTTTATTAGACATTTTTTCATGTAACTGTAAGGGAATACAGTTGTTTGTATCCTGATGACATAATACACGTAATCCATTGCTCCCCCAGCCTGTAAACATGGGACAGCATGCAGCATTTCCTAGCAAACAAAGTATGCTTTGATCAGCTGATCTCACCATGCTGATGTGTTTCACTGTTCAGCAAACAGAACGGATGTTACAGTAACTCATGAGAGGCCGTCTAGCTGCTCACAACTCATACTTGGTCTTACAGACAATATCAGAATCTCACACATACACCACTCAACTCTTTTATACATATTGCTAAACACTTTTACATGCGCAATCATACTCTCTTTCACACACTTTTGTCTGGGCCATAAATCAAATGTACTTACATACCAAACTGTACTTTCTTAGAAACACTATTATTCCCACTTACAGACAACATCATACTACAATATGATACTCTATAGTGTAAAAAAACGTTGTGTGTGAGAGAGAATGATAGTGTATGTGAGAGAGAGGAATTGTAGTATGTATGAGGGTATAGTTGTGTGTGTGTGTGTGTGTGTGTGTGTGTGTGTGTGTGTGTGTGTGTGTGTGTGTGTGTGTGTGTGTGTGTGTGTGTGTGTGTGTGTGTGTGTGTGTGTGTGTGTGTGTGTGTGTGTGTGTGTGTGTGAGAGAGAGAGAGGGTAGCTTGACGTTTCATAGAGGGTGCTCAAACATGTAGGGTTTCCCATTAATGTACCGGGCGCTACAGTGGAATGTTCTACTGCAACACTCCCCACACGCATATACACAGTGTACCTGCGACTGTTACAATGAAGGCTCGATAATCAGCTCACGGCATATAGGTGTAAGCAGGGGTAAAGTGCTATTATTATAGGTGGGGAGTGGACCTAACATCCTTTAGGAGGGTCCGGGGGCATGCTCCCCCGGGAAGATTTAACTTCAATTTTTAAATATTGAAGTTAAAAGCATCAATCTGGTGCACTTTGAGAGCAACATGAAGAGATCTATGGATACATCTCTCAACACCCATATGAAACACAACTGTAATGAGATGTTCTTCTTCTTTATGTATATTTTACAAATCACTCCCCTTTTAAACTGTATTCTTGTTTTACTGTCATATAGTATTTCATACCTGTTTTTCATTTATTCTCTTATTTTCTTTATAACTATAATGATCATATAAAGGTGTGCCTTGGAAATAATCTTTTACATAATTGCATTCACTGAACACGGGAAATTACAATCCTGCCGTCCTCTAGTGTCATGATGAGGTTCAGGTAAAGCACGGTTAATGTATTATATATATATTATAAGCAGTGGCGACTGGTCATTAGGGGCAGGTGGGGCACAGCCCCACCTAGTGTCAGCAGAAAGTATTAAAAATAATGATTACAAAAAAAATGCAAAAAATTAATTTAAAAATATATAAAATATATTTTAAGATCATGTTTAATCATCTGATTCGTCTGTACATTGCTTTTTTAGTCTGTGTTCTTCTAATTAGTGTCTACAGTGTGTGCCTATTGAGCTGTTTAGAGCCATGTGGGACAAAACCCGATCATGCCCCTCCCTCTCTCTGTCTAAGTGAACGGTGACTGTAAAAACTACACTGCGCATGCTCAGAGTATTGTCCTATTTAATGTGTGTGGCAAAAAAATAATGACCATAGGGGCACTGAGCTGCCATCCCCACCATACGTTATCTCACATCATTCAGAGCTGATTGGCTGTAAATACGTGTGCCGCGAAAAGTGTGGTGTATTATACACACATGCATTTCCAAACATTTGGACTACCTATGTTGCAAATGTATTATCTTTTCAATTTACACACGGCATCTATTGCACGTCTGTCCGTCCTGGGAGAGGGATCCCTCCTCTGTTGCTCTCCCTGAGGTTTCTCCCATTTTCCCTTTAAACTGGGGGTTTTCTTCGGAAGTTTTTCCTTGTACGATGTGAGGGTCTAAGGACAGAGGGTCTAAGGACAGAGGGTGTCGTATTGTCATACTGATATTTTGTACAAACTGTAAAGTCCACTGAGACAAATGTAACATTTGTGATATTGGGCTATATAAATAAACATTGATTGATTGATTGATTGATGGTGTGTGAAGAGGAGACGAGAGAGCTGCAGTGACGCATCCTAAAACCAGGAAGTAAACTGCGCATGGCTTCCCTTGACAAAAAAGCAATGAGATTTCTCCATAGGATTTTAGAAAATAGCTCCAAATAAGATCTGTGGGAAACAAACCTGTTAGATAAATGCACGTTTCGTTCAGCCGGATAATATCCACATGTCTACCCTACTTTTATAATTTTCGAATCATAAATCTATTGATTAGATTAGATTTATGATAGACTTTTGAAACTACAAGAACATAAGGAGGACTTTTACAAAAAAGTAATAGAGATTTTTGTCCAGAAGGATAGGCAAATGGACTTAATCTTCAAGTCAAGGTAAGACTGCAATTTTATTGAAAATGGGATCTTACTAAGAGAGAACAATTCAATATTTAAATGATAAATTACATTTTTTGGGTATCCTTTTGTTGAACTGTCTGTTTAAAATTAATTGAAGCATCAGACAAAAAAAGCTTTTGAAAATAATATTATATTTTGATTTAGGTCAAAATATAATATTTGTAAACCTGAAGAGTCAGTGCCAGTGCCTCACCAGCCATGAACCTCACTGCAGAAGCTTATATATAGACATCTACGTTTTTTGTGCCCCACCAATTTTGTACATATAAAAACGCCACTGATTATAAGGAAGGAATGACAGTACGTTAAAGACGGTATGATACTGTGTGTGAAAGAGTCTGGTGGTGTACATGTGAGATTCTGATATTGTTTGTAAGACCAAGTATGAGTTATGAGCTAGACGGCCTCTCATAGCAACTGATCTCTATCTCCTCACACATAAACACACACACATGCTTTCTTCACATCATTTCATGCAGAGGGATTTATAACAGAGTGCCTAGAGTTCACTCTTCATTTGTTAAGCTTCAATGTTTCTAAATTGAATTTGTCAGGGCAGCCTTACAGCGTGTAAAATGACCTGATAATGCCGTTTGACTAATGAGCAACTCCAGCTGCATTCAAATGAAGTGACCGCTGTTATATGCAAAACACTGCTCACACCGCGCAGATAAATGAGCCGGCTCACTCTGAGTTACAGCACTGAGAAAACTACAGAGACCTTTGTGTGATGCACTGCTCCTCAACCTTTGTGCAGGGGAGCAGAGTGGGAAACTCCACACTGTGTATATGTTTATTTGATATTGTACTTGTTGTAAAGTATCATATCTATAAATATTGCATTTAGGTTGAGTTAGGAAGGGAACTACTTAGAGATACATTCTGTAGAGGGTAAGCCAACGCTTTAAGCCTCTGAGGATCCGCTTGGTGGGTATAATTGACGCACACAAGTTTGCTGCCGAATAAAGGTCAGAAACAAAGTTTCCAGTTTGAAACAGTCCATTTATTTCCATTTTACTGGTTTCCATGTACTTGCTTCTTTCCATATTCACCACACGATATTACCGTTTACACAATACCTTTGCTTTGCTTGTAATCCTGTGTGTGTGTGTGTGTGTGTGTGTGTGTGTGTGTGTGTGTGTGTGTGTGTGTGTGTGTTCTCCGTGTGTGGTCAAAAACTGTATGGGCCTTCCGGCGGAACCTCTCCCCAACACATAGGTTCCTACCTTTATACCCACAGTTAATTGGCTCCTACAGATTCATCAGTTCTAGTTACCGATTTGTTTCTCTTAAAAAAAAAAGTGAAATGTGTTAAACGTTTCAATAATGTGTTTAACGTTGAGATTATTGTACAAATGGGTTACAGTAGAAACCACTAGAGCTCGAATTTGTAAAATTATAGTTCATGCAGTGGCGGCTGGTGGAAAATAGTTTTGGTGGGGCTGTTGATATAGTGAGTAAAACAATTTTTTTTGGGAGAAATGACCCCTTAAATTAGGACTTCTGGTGATGTAATGGCGCGTTTCCAGTGCAGCGCGGAGCTCGCTTTAATGCTGCGTTCAGACCGGACGCGATGCGAATATTCGCTTCGCTCTAAACGCTCCTATCGCATCGCTCTAGTCGCTCGAGTTTCACAGCGGCTGCCAGCTGTGTTTACTCGCATCATTCAAACAAGACGCGCTGGCTCGGGAGCTACAACTACAACAAAATGAACATATTTGACCGTGATTAAATTGTAATACACGTTTCTAAATGATGCCGACGTAACAACATACTGATACCGGTTAGTAAAAACCATGAATTAATGCTTTGACAAGTCTGCAGACAGACGGCAGGCGAAAAACCCTTTTAAAATGCGTGTTTTCTAAATGGAGCTTGGCTAAGCTAACGTTATATATGCTCCGACCGTCCACACTCACAACAACGGCCTATACAGACATAAATAAACCAGCGACTGTATTCACCATGACACAGACAGTCTGTGGTTTGTACTTGTTTAACTTTCGTCTAGTTTCTGAACAGATCGTATCTGTCCCCGGCTGTTTGAAGAGCAAGCATGGGAAACAAAAGACAGCATTTACCTGTTTGCATCCAGCTAGCCATGCCTTTCTGGTGTACCAGCTACGTGAGAAGCCTGGTTGATACGTGTTGTCTTTTTCACAAGCTTGCTGCGATATATACAAATCAGGTTGGTCCGGTCCAAGGTATTTAATCAACAGTTTATCTCCCAAACTTCTCCTTTCGAAAGGATTGGAGAGTAGCTCTTGCACGGAATTGGGTGAGGACCGAGGTCCGGCGACTCCACCTGCACACGAAGCCATTCTCATCCAACTAATGCGTCACCTTGGTCACTCACGAGTCTAAAAAACAACTCACGTCAACGCACGTAAGCAACGTGGGTGCCAACGTGAGCGCCCTCGTGACCAAAATATTTGACGGCGCTGATTGGCTAAAATTATGTTTCGGCGGCACAGTTTACTATTGAGACTTTTGCAACGTGCTGGTTGCTGCTGTTTGGCTCGGGGGCTCCGCCCGGTAATGATAAACTAATGCCATGGGCAAGGCCAGGCAGGAAACATGTGACTTATCAGTAACTTTAGACATCGTAACACAATTTTAAACGAGATTTTATTGTAGATTATACATTTTACTGATACCAATTGTATGATATTTACCTTGTTCACTAAAATATAAAATATATATATATTTTTTATATATATTTTTTTTATATATATTTTTTTATTTAATATTTTTTTTTATGTGGGAAGAGGTGGGGCGGCGCCTCTATGGGCCGGCTGCCACTGAGTTCATGTAATTGGGATTTGTTGCTGATGAAGCCCAACATGTGTATGTTGCATACAAATGTTGACATATTAAACAAAGAGACAAACCATTAGTCTTTAGTTTTAATTATAAGGGCAAAGTAAGTGCACCTACAGTATTGAGGCTGGCTTTGGATAATTGGTTCTAAATAGATGTTTCAGATCATGTATTTATTGTATGTATATTGTGTTCATTTACAGTGCTGTGAAAATGAATTTCCCCCTGGAGACAATAAATCTAATTTAACATTTGAAATCGCAAGTGGTGGAGTTCGCACTCACTTTGTTGATTGAAATATGGTATGAAAAGATACGACTTCACATAGTTGTTAATATAAGGGATTTTTAATTCAACACACAACACATAATAGTTAGCAACACTGACGGTTTTTCAAAAGACTGTTCACAGGGAGTCAATACAATATCTGTAAACGTACCTTCCAGCTTCCACTACGATAGACTGCTGTAGGAATGAGTCCTAAAACCCGGGAATGAATCAGCATATTTGCATATATAGTTCCGTCACCTCAAATACATTTGGGTTTCTAGTTAGATGCATAAAATAAGGTCTGTAGTTAATGCAATAACATTTATTTCTAACATAAAATACGTCAGTAAATACCCCAGGTTTTCACGTGTGTTAAAAAAGGTTGCTAGCAAGCAGCTAAATTAAACTATTGTCAGGGTGAGTAAACTTTGTAATGCTGAACAAAGTGAGACTCATCAATTAAGTGGTGGGAAAATGAAGTCATGTCATTGTGGTGTAGTCTAAAGTTAGCTTTCTTACTTCTGGCAATTCAAAATATATATGTAATTTGTAAAAATAATCCTGCTGAACAAAACTTTAAGCTGAACCAAAATACTGTACAATAGAAGAATCCCATTGGCTTTGTGCGAAGATGTATCTGGTCTGCCAAAAAAGAAAAGTCATCCCTGCAGCACTCCATATCAAATTAATGAGAAAGCTGATTTTAATTTCCCAAAACCCAAGGTGATGTCTCCAAATGGTTTGTTTTGTTCAATCAACAGACAAAATAATTCAAATCGTATTAAAAGAAAGCAGCAAATCTGCCCAGAGGCTTTAAATAATAATGCAGAATCAGATTGTTGTTTTTTCCTTTTCTGTTGACCAACACACATTGATAAATCAGCTTCAGCAGAGTAAACCCCTGGGTTGTGTTCAGTAGTCTAATAATAATAATAATAATAACTGAAATGAATATAGCGCCTTCTATGAACCCTGGGACGCTAATATCACATGTGCATGTTTGTGTTTTAATCTCTGCAGGAAAGCAGACCCCCCCAAAGGACAGCCAATCACCGTCTCTCCCCCGGCCTCCCCTCGACCAATCAGCATGCTCATAACGCTGCTGCTAAGCGACGGTTGTCATATGACTACAACAGAAACATGGAGTAACAGTGCGGCTCTGTTTGAACTGTGATGCATCAACGTTTTCCTGAAGGACTGCAGTGGCTGAATTTCCAACACATGTACTATCTGTCAAACACTGACCTTTGACCTTTGCACCCTCCTGGTTATTAGAACCTGGGCCGCTGTGAAGTCGGATGAAAACAGAGCGACAGTTGGGTGTCAGAAGTTGTCTCCTCCAGCTCCTGTTGGAGTGTTTCCATCACCGTGTGCCACCGTGTCCACTTTCTCTTCTTATTTTTGCTTTCTGCCTCCGAGTGATATTTTCCTACCTAATATTTTATTATAGATTTAAATTGTATCTCAATAGAAATATGTCACTGTGTCAGAGCTGCTGTATGACAGAAATGTTCACGTTGCTTGAAGAAATCTTAATGGGTTGAGAAAAAGGGAGGAAGGATTAAAAATAAATCATTGTTTCTTGCATTCATGATTTTAGAAGGTCAGCATGCTTTGCTAACTATCTTATCTAAAATGAAACAGGCAAACATTTATTCCCCTTGATCTTTTTCTATTATCTTTAGCAAAATATGACATTGATGTCCTATCCAGAACATTGTCTGTAGCTCCACCATGAGATCCTTTCTTCCTCTGCAGCAACTCTGGCAGAAAGATGTAGAGCTGATGTGTTCATGTCATGTGGAAAAGGAAGAAAGCAATAAGAGCAAAGGGTTTCTGTTCCAACCTGCAATTATTCAAAGGATCAGACACTTTAAGATGGCGATTTGCAAAGTTATTTCTTATTATATTAATAGTTATTTAGCACTGAATCCTTAAGGCTTAAAAAAAAAAGAGTCACTGAGTAATTCAAAGTAAAGTAGGCATTCCTGTTTGCTGTAACATGCAGCACTGAATAAAGTTAAACTAATAGTGACAAAGAGCTGGATTCATGCAAATGTCCAAGCTCTCCATTTCTTATTTTTCAAAGATAGAAGCAACAGAGAATCATGTGATCCACTGGAGGCAGAGTGAAGCATTATTTCACTCGCAGAATTCTGAAGATGTGTCCAGACCAGAGTTGGGTGTAACGCGTTACAAAGTAACGCGTCACTGTAATAATAGTACTTCTGTTCGTAACGGAGTAGTGTAATGCGTAGTAATCACACTACAGTTACTAACATTGCCCCGACACGCGTTACTTCGTTACTTTTATAAAATAATCACACTCACTGACAGACTAGAGGGGTTTCCGCCGCAGGTTTATATACATGTAGGCCTATGTAATCTGCGCGATTTGCGAGACCACATCTCCACGTGCAGTGCTGCATAAACATGGCTGAGTCTTTTCATCGTAAACTCCCTCAACGGGGCCGCTCGCTCTCTTTTGTTGATTGCCCTCTCACGGGTGAACAGTTCAATGTCCCGCTTCATTGTAGGAATTCTGCCATGTCTCTACCACTTTAGTTTGACCATCTCTGTTACTAAGTTATGGAATACTAAATACATAAGTAATTAGATACCTTACCGTTACTGCGCTCATAAAGAATGATAAGAATAATGCGTCTTGAACTGGTTTCATTAATTAGTGTCTTGACGTTTCACAGACTGTTAGCTTGTTGTGGTAGGCTGGTAGCCTATTTTAGAGCATATAAAAAGAAAGACTTGTGTTATGTCTTCCTTAATGCAATAGTAATTGGGGGTGCAAGTGGAGTCTCGCAGAGGCAAAACTGTGGCGCGCACATTGTAGGTGCGCCGCAGTCTGCGTGATCTGCCTGTAGGGAGGGGCGGGCCGGCCCTGCGAGTAAAGTAACGAGTTACTTTATGTAGAGAGTAACGAAGTAGTGTAATATATTACTTTTTTTTTTTAAGTAATATGTAATATATTACTTTTTTTTAGTAACGACCCCATCTCTGGTCCAGACGCATGTGCTTTCTTTGTGTGTTTGCTGCAGAAATGACAGGAAATAATCACTTTTGATTCCTCAGAAAAACAAGTTAGTCTTCCAGTTAGTGCCAACAGGAACAGCAGTTAAGTGTCAATGTTTACGAGGTAACGGAGCGAGGCAGACACACAGTGTTGTTTCTCACAATCTGAAGTGGACTCCACCAATCATTCTGGCACGTGATGTTTCTCTGTTTCCTTTGTCTCTCCGTCTGGCTTCCTGTCTGCCTCTCTCCTCCCTCTCAGCTGACTCCACGTCACCAGCAAAAACTTGAATCTAGCTGCCAATAAAAACAATATTGTTCACATTGTGTTCCACTGTACATGTTTAATTTATACGTACCACTACATGTTATGACTTTATTTCACTCTGCGTTGTATATTTCAGCTCAATCATTTGTGATGATATATGATATGTGTGAATGTGTGCGTGCGTGTGTGCCATTTGTACAAAACTACAAATTGCTGAATAAGAAAAAGATGAATATTTTCTGATCTATTCAAATAAGGAGGAGTTGTCACCTTGGTAACTGATGTAATAAAATGATACTGTGTGATGGCTACCTGCTTCCTTGTCACGTATTTATATACTTTAAAATTGCATATCCACCTATGTAAGACAAGTCATAACCAACACAAATTCAGCTGTCTGAGAAAGCTAAAAGATTAACATTTTGGAGTCTGTGGAAGCTATTCAGTATTTTTCACATTTATTTAATGTATTTATTTGTTATTTTTTGTTTTGTAGAATTAATTAATTTACAGCCATATTATTTAAGTTAAGTTGTGTTCCAGCTAAAATGCTTTTATTTTGAAGGTGATGGGTCAATTTGGGCACACAGCTGGGTTTATTTAAGTCAATCAGGGCACAGCAGCAGTCAGTGGGCACCGGGAAGGTCTATGGTTTTTTAGCAGTGTCAGGGCTGAGTTCAGCAAACATTTCAACACCTTTTGCTGTATTGTTCTTGCCAAGGTGAAGCTAATAAATACCACAGAAACGTTGATGCCTTGTCTGGACAATGGACTCATTACCAACTCATGATCTGCGTAAAATCCACTATACCTGGTGCCTCAGTGGCCTTTTGAAGTTGTATTGTTGTTGACAAATAGCCACTACAGAGTCTATTTAAAAATGAAATGTACAGTATATAAAATAAATAATATAGATATTAGGACCTGGTTTACTCGTGAATTACCGGGGAGTGATGGATTAGCTTCACGGCCCGAGGAGGAGAGATTTCAGAGATCATAGAATTCATTTATTTCTAATCTGAACCTAGCATTATCCAAAGTATTCTTCCTCTTTTAAAGTTTAAGACACCCCACTTTTTCAATATCATAAATGTGAAAGTGGTGTGGTTTCATCCATCCATCCATCCATCTTCTCCCGCTTATCCGTGGTCGGGTCGCGGGGGTAGCAGTTCCAGCAGAGAGCCCCAAACTTTCTTTTCCCTGGCGACATCAACCAGCTCTGACTGGGGGATCCCAAGGCGCTCCCAGGCCAGCGAAGAGATATAATCCCTCCACCTGGTCCTAGGTCTACCCCTTGGTCTCTTCCCAGCTGGACGTGCCTGGAACACCTCCCTAGGGAGGCGCCCAGGTGGCATCCTAACTAGGTGCCCGAACCACCTCAACTGGCTCCTTTCGACGCGAAGGAGGAGCGGCTCAACTCCGAGTCCCTCCCTGATGACCGAACTTCTCACCTTATCCCTAAGGGAGACACCAGCCACCCTGCGGAGAAAACCCATCTCGGCCGCTTGTATCCGCGATCTCGTTCTTTCGGTCATGACCCATCCTTCATGACCATAGGTGAGGGTAGGAACGAAAATGGCCCGGAAGACCGAGAGCTTTGCCTTCTGGCTCAGCTCCCTTTTCGTCACAACGGTGCGGTAAAGCGACTGCAGTACCGCTCCCGCTGCTCCGATTCTCCGGCCCATCTCACACTCCATTGTTCCCTCACTCGAGAACAAGACCCCGAGATACTTGAACTCCTTCACTTGGGGTAAGGACTCATTCCCTACCTGGAGTGGACAGTCCATCGGTTTCCTGCTGAGAACCATGGCCTCAGATTTGGAGGTGCTGATCCTCATCCCAGCCGCTTCACACTCGGTTGCGAACCGATCCAGTGAGTGCTGAAGGTCGCAGACCGATGAAGCCATTAGAACCACATCATCTGCAAAAAGCAGTGGTGCAATCCTTAGTCCACCGAACTGCAGACCCCCTCCCCCATGACTACGCCTCGAAATCCGATCCATGTATATTACAAACAGGATGTTTGTTGTGGTAGGTGTGGTAGGTGTGGTTTCATATTCTTGTAAATCCTGAGCCAAGGCAGACATTTCCTCAATGTGCTAATTTATATTTGTTGTGGTTCGACGTGAAGTTATGTTTTTTAGGCCACGTGTACACGGAGACGAAAACGAACCTTAGTCGATATCAAAAAAGTATTCCGTCCACATGGAATCGGCTCAAGAAACGTGTCCGTCCACACGAGACCGCTCGACCCGCTGTAGTACATATGCCGGGCCTGTAAGTGGCGTCATTACGGTACTTCCGCCACAAAATACACCAAAAGCAGCGAAGAAGACGCCCGAGCATGGTTGCCCTTCTGTTTATTGTCCGCGGTGGATTTAGCAACATGTAGTTCATGTAGTTCTTCATGTCCACTTGTTGCTGATGGTTGTGGTAGAGGAGCTGTAGATTTAGCTCTAACATCTGTAGCATGGTCAGCAGCATCTGGAGCACGAAAGCAATCCTGTGATCCGCCATTGTTGTTGTTGTTGGCGAAAAACATCAGCAATGACGTGGGGGTGAGCAGCAGAGGTGGGGCTATGGCGTCATCGTTATCAGGAAATGATCGTATAGGACGTACACACGGAGCCGCTTGGCCCCCCAGAGTGTTTCGTCTGCAGATCTACCCACCTTGGGAGCCGTTATTGTTTGAGGGCTCCGTTTCCGCGGTTCCGTTACGGCCTTGTGTGGATGAACCGTCTATACCAGGGGTCGGCAACAGGCGGACCGCGGTCCGGACCCACACCTATAATCAATACATTAATAGGGGATTTCAATTTTGAAGGGGCGATTCTATTTTAACTGCCGCCAGAGGGGGCGAAAGAGACGAGTGAGTGATACAGGGAGAGAAACAAAGAAGAAGAGACGAGAAAGCAGCAGATAGAAGCGGAGAGGAAAGTGAGTGAAGAGAATAATTAGCGATACAGGGAGAGAATCGGAAAGGAGAGTGAACAGGCATGTTAGCGGCAGACAGGGAGAGACACATAATTACACATGGCGCTCTCCAAGAAGAGGAAAGTGGACAGTGAGAACAGAGCTTTTAATAATAATACATTTTATTTGTAGGCGCCTTTCATGACACCCAAGGACACCGTACGATTTGCTAAAAAAAAAACCTGAGTGGACAGACTCATTCATGTTCATCCTGCCCACTGGGAGCACAGAACCAGTGTGTCTCATTTGTTCAGAGACCGTGTGTTACGGTGAGTGAAGCAAGCAGGACCCAAATGCAGATAATGCTGAAAATGCCTTTATTTCAAGGATAATCTAGACAACTTGGACAAAACAGAAAACTCACCGGTGAACTCGGTCACAAACAAAAGACGAACCAACACTGAACACAGGAAGAGACAAGACTAAATACAGGGAGGGGTAATCACGAGACGAGAAACAGCCGGGCAGGGGATGAGAAACACAAGGACAACAGGTGAACACAATCAGACAATTAGACACACCAGGAAAACTAACGACAGGGAGGAAAAAGACAGAGAGAGGGACCAGACAATACACAAGGGAGACAGGGAGAACCGAACAGCAAAATAAACCCAAACCTAGACATACAAAACTAAAAACGTGACATAACATGAGAATCGTGACACCGTGGTGCTCATTAAAAGTGCCAAAACGCCACTATGAGACAAAACACAAAGTGTTTGACCAAACATTCCCTCTCAAGTCAGAACTGAGGTCCCAAATAATAAGCAGTCTCAGAGCCCGATATGATCAGTCCACCAGGATCAAAATAAAAAAAAACTAAATATTATTCCAGGGCAGGCTAACCGAGGCTAACCAATGAGCACCTGCATGTGTATGAGAATGGCCCTGACACCATTTCAGCCCAGATCTAAACTCCTGACAGGACAATAAGCTCCAGCTCAATTCTCACACTGAATAAAACAAAGTGAGTGAGGGACTGCAATATAAGAGGGAAAGAAAGAGAAACTTTAAACTGTTCAATTGTTATGATGTGTAAAGACTGATATTGTTCTATAATCGGCTGAAACTGTTAAGTCATGATGTGAAACGGTTAACAAAG